AAGCTACTGGTCCCTGTTAGATGTAGTCAGCATAGCGCTAGATGCTATAAAAGCTCTGAGAATATGTGAAGAAGAGGCCGCAAGGTAGGAAGTCAAATGTGGCTCAAATGAGAGGGACGGCAGGTGATCTGTTAGTTGAATAGCCCTAGGGGATGGTAAGATGTTAATATTCACATATATCTTGCAAATCAGCCTAGCATCCGCAGGAACGGGTGTTAGTCAATGTATCTTAGATATGGACGGGGAAGGTTGCTCTGTGGTTAGAATGTACGGAGTATTTGGGGATGTAGACGACCTCTTTCATAGACATCGGAGTTGCTTTAGGAAACGACACCTATAACAGGGAATCGACCAATTTTGCAAAGGGCCGCTATTTTCCGTCTTACGTTAGAGGCTTATACTTAGTAAACAGCTCAGTTCTAGGTGCTTATGCATGCTGTCATAGCTAGTTACCCTTCCCACACCTCCAGAAAGACGTTATGTTAGTATTTAACATACTTCTCATTAGAGTTGCATAACCGAAGACCCGAAACTGCAGCAGTTTGGGTCCAGCTAAGGTTGAACTCGCCCGAACTCGCACCAAATGCAACTCTAACTCTACTCTACACCTATTATCCCAAGAATACAGGACTATGGCCCAGACAGCCTAAAATGCTATCTTTAGGTTTGACAGAGTCGTCATAACACTGAGTCATATTTCTTCTGCAGGCAGTTTGTATAGTACTACAGGACATAACGAAATTGCTTATTGTCAATCTCGGTTTGATCCTGAAAAGTTAGTCTGCGTCATATACTCTGATAGCGACAAAACTTACCAGCATCCCATTCTCAATGCCCCTATCCCCATCTGACTCCTGCGCGCTCATCCGATCCCTTCGCCGATTCTCCAAATACATATACACATACAAAGCTGTAATCGACACCAGCTTGACCATATACCCCACCAGCATCCTGCCCCGTCAGCGTTACTACACCCACATGGAAGATTCTACTCACGCAATATAAGCGCTGCGATACCCCGGCGCCTCGCTCTCCTTGAACGTCTGCGGTCCAATGATGTTCCCCACGCAGTACCCCGTAAACAGCAGCGCCCCGGTCACCTGCTTCTTGGTATACCCGGCGATATTCGAGCTGACCACCGTCAAGCTCATACTGAATCCGAGACCCTGGAAGTAACACAACCACAGGGCCACAAGCCGTCCCCATTTGTTTGTATCAGGCAGACCAACGAGTAACGCAGAGCCAACGATACAGATGGTGTTAGCGACGATCATACAGGCGCTGCGCGAGTGGAATTTGTCACCGAATTCCGTAGCGATCCAACCACCCACCAGCAGCGCGAGGAATTGTACTGCGCCGCCGGGGATCTGGAGGTATTGCGTGCTGAGGGTATCGAAGCCGAAGGAGCCGACGATGATGGAGGTGAACTGTTGCGGGTCAGAACATAACATACTCAGAGTTAGGGAGTAGTATGTAACTGGGAAGCGAAGCATACACTCGTCAATGCAGAGTTGGGCACCTGCGCCCCAACCGCCATCACGAAGAGAAGCCATGTCTTCGGATCCCGCGCCGCCTGCCAGACCTGCTCCCACTTGAAGTGGTGATTCTTAACGCCCTGCCGGTTCCTGGCGACGCGGTCAACGGCGATGGTCCGCTCCCTGGGTGTGAGGAATCGCGCGGTGGAAGGGAGATCAGGGAGCAGAAGCAGGGAAACGATCCCTGTCGCGACGGACACCGCACCGAAGATAAGGAAGACGTACATCCACCGCGGTAGGCCGGAGGTAATATGTCCCACTGCGTAGCCGATCAATCTATATTATTCCATTCCGTTTAGCAGTCTCACAGGAGCGAGGGACGAGGCGATGGGCCTACCCCCCAAACATCGTAGCGATGCCGTTAGTGCAGTAATACGCCTCTAGGCGCAGCGGCTGCTCCTGCGCTGTATACCACATGCTCATCAGGAGGACAAAACCAGGGTTCACAACGGCCTCGAGAAGCCCTAGGAGGAAGCGGTTGGCGGCGATACCGGCAAAGTTGTGGCAGGCGGGCGTGGTCATGAGCAGTGCGCCCCATACTATGAGTTCGTTAATATTGATCCAGATAACTTCCTAAACGACGGCATACTGATGGTAGTGATAGACAGGACTTTTCCCATTGGAAGTCGCTGCAAGGCATATCCGGCCGGATACTGGGCGATCAAGTAGCCAAAATAGAAGATTGAGCCGAGCCAGGCGTAGTCCTGTCCGTGGAGGTGCGTGCCTTGTTTGAGGCCGTAGACCGAGGCGAAGTTGAGGCTGTTTTTGTCCAGATACTACGCCATTAGCGACGAGACAATACAACGGAAAATACGCACCTGGAGCATGTATATCACCACGAGGAGCGGAATCAGGCGAGTGTCGATCTTGCGGAGGACCTTTTTCGCCTCTCCTGGGGTGTATTCGAGTTCGCGAGTCTGCGTGTAAACATCGTAACTGTCGTCTTTATCGGCCGAGGGATGAGAGGATAGATATGAGTGTACATCTGCCTCGAGTTTGGTTTGGTCGGATGAGGGCATTTTTACGAGTTGGGCAGGTCTGCGTACCACAATACTGCGGATAACGTTATCTCTATATTTATATGTGTTCAGGCAGTCTTCTGAGTACATGAATCATGCAACCCCACTCCCCTTAAAAAGTCTTTCCTTGAGTTAGGATAAACGCGCAGGACCCGCCACTCTGATATTATAGCCAGCCAATACGGCAGCATCAAATAATTGCAATTACTTTCTTCTTCAGAAACATGCCGCGAGTCCAACAGGAGGTGTTGATACCTGCCATAATAGACGAACTAGACGGTCAATACAGGTGTCATCCGCGACTATAATCACGACATTGGGGCGGTGATGGCGTCTTAGTAGGATACTTTTCCGCCATTGGCAACAAATCAAGGCAATTGAACAATGATGCACTACTGTCAGACTAGATATATAAATAAGTGTATGACCAACATCCTTAATTAATCCTTCAGTTCACTAAACTCGCATGAGAAAAGAATCCTTCAGCAAAGTAATCAGAACGCCTGAAGATGCCACACTTAAAGTGCAGCCTTCCATTGCTTACATTCACACAGTCAACCTCCTAGCCAGGAACCACTGACGTCCACGCACAATGTGAATAGTACGAAATCCCGGACATTGATGCACTTTGAGTCCTCCCCACTGCAATGAGTGGCTTAACACTCACCTGCTTAAATATCTCTCGGAACCCTAAATTCAATGTCCTTGCACTTGCAGTGACCGTATGCCAACCACACTTGCATATTGAGCATAACCAGTCAAGCAGTTTATCCTCGTTAATCTGTCCCTTGAGCTAATCATCCAACGTCTAGTTCATGGCGCGGAACCAGCCTGGTGTCCAGTCCATTTCATTGCCTAATTTAATCAGATAGAGGTTGCAGCATTGGCCTCCAGCATGGCTAGCATATCCGAACATTGGCATGGAAATTGAACCCGTGGCGACACCCACTCTTGCCTATCGCCAGCCAATGCATGGTGGGTCATGAGCACAAACCTGATTACCAAGATGCTTGTCAAATGTGGTTCGCAGTCTGTGTAATCAAGTATTATAACAAGTTGAATTACTTCTGTTGCCTCTAGGTCCAGCAAATTTGCAGCGGGTGCCTTCGCGGGCACTGAACCTCGTACAGTCCAAAGGAAAAGGTCATGACCTGTACCACCGCTATTAAAGGTCTCCCAAACTGTCCCTTCAGCGGATATCAAGTATAGAACCACCCCTATTAAGATGAGTGTGCAAATCCGCATGGCTATTAAGAATTATTATAGTTCAATTCTTTAAACCTTTGCTGGAATCTGTTGAATGACTGGTTAAGATATGCATACATGCACTACCCAATCAGACCCTCATGTCTTCTAGTCATTGTAGTTAGAACTTGAAGAAGGATCAGACTATAATACAGTACAAGTGCAGGGGAGGGTGTGTGTAAGTAATCTTGTTCGCCCATAGAGAAAGCTTTTTTGTTCATATTTCTCTTTTCCTGTACGTTTACCTTCCTTCTTTTTTTTTTTTTACAAGCAGACTTTCCCAATGCTTTAGCACTATTGCTGTTAAAAACGAACCCATCAAGCACAGTGAGAGTGAGGATCTCTAGGCCAACTGTTCCTTCCCATTATATCAAAAGATTAGACCAATGCTGGAGCGGCTGGCGTAGCCGAAGATTAGACTTCAGTATGCAGTTCTACTCTTCAGCTGAATAGCCATGTACTAGGGAGAGGACCTTTGTCGAAGCTAATATCCGGCTCTTTGCATGTTCTGGATCTGTTGGTCGTTTGATCAGTCCGTCTATTGTACGATTACTTTCTGGATTGATTAAGACCTTGTTGAACATCAAGTTTGTATTTACACCCACTCACATAGAGTTCAGACCTTGTTGAACTTTTTCTTGGCAATAATTCAAGACCTTACTGAACTTTTTTGAGACCTTGTTGAACTGCTTGCCCGTATGCGGCAAGCAATTGAACCATTTCACGTAGTTTAGCGCTTACATTATTCGAATTCACCTTGCTTGCCAATTAGGTGGGTAGTTGCCTTGCTACCGCGGCCGTCCCACTCGAATTTAACTTCAGCAATGAGCTAGATACTCCCAATATAGTCCATGGTATACGATTCCAGTAGTATGATTATTCGTTCGTTAGATACTAGATGGAGAGAACTGGGACCTTCACTGTCTCATCCCTTGCAAAACTTTACTCCAGTGACGACTGAAGTGGATTCGGTACTGCGGTTTCTGACAACGCTTAACACAGAATTAGAGAATACTGTACCACTATAATGCCATGCGTGATGATTGATTCGAGGTGATGAATCGCGGCCCATTGCCGCCAAGGTCCAGGTTAATCCGACCCAGTTCAACGTCGCTGAATTCTAGTATCTTCCCACCCCAGAATATGCTTTTTCCCGGGCGTAGAGGGAATTCTTCGCAGTCATTCTAATTACACAACCCAGTTATCCACTAACAGCCTTATTAAAGATGGGCCATGCCTCCACGAAGTCTGCAAGCTTCTCCAAGCCATGACGAAAAGTCTCGGGAGACATCACAAAACCCAGGCGAAGATAGCCCTGAAGAGAGCCTTGGCCACCCTCCTCAAAGCAGAGGCTAGCGGGGCAGAATAGGATATTGTTTGCCTTCAAGAACTCCAGAGCAAACTCTTGATCATTGAGGGGAGATCCGTCCTTGTTGTGTAGCCTTATCAAAGTTGAAGTTGAAGCATGAGTAGGTGTCCAAGTGATCAGTTGATTCTTGGCAACAAATTCCCTGAGAAATCTAAGATTCGCCTTTGCCATATCTGAACTTCTTTGAAGCAAGCTTAGTCGGCATCTCGGTGAGAGTACTTCTGCAGCAATAATCTCGTCAACCAAGCCAACACTTATAGTAGTGTAGTTACGGATCTGAGTGAAACGACGTATGAAGTCATGGGAGAGAGTCGCAATCCAGCCAACTCTGATACCGGGAAGGCCATATGACTTGCTGCAAGAGCTTGTGACAATACATTTCTCATATCCACTCTCAAGGAAGGAGGCTGGCTCCTCCTCGTGATTTGGCGAGAAGTGAAACATCGGTCTGAAAACCTCGTCAACCATTAAAATGATGTCATGGACCTCGACCAATTTCAGGATAGAATGCTGCACTGCGGTAGGTAGATATGCACCAGTTGGGTTGTTTGGGCTGCACAGGACAATCATCTTGGTATTTTCGCGAATAGCTTGGCGGAGACATTCCATGTCCGCGCTCCAACCGTTACTCTCCTTGAGCTTCCAAAAAGTGACCTCAGCACCCAACGCTTGGCTGATCTTATAGAGTTGCTCGTATACTGGATACATGCAGATAATGTGATCGCCAGGACATATCAGAGCAGAGAAAACAATGTGGTTGCCGGCCACGGCCCCACTAGTCGTTATTATATGCCCGCTTGTGACTTGGGAATTTGTGTAAAGAGAGGCAATTGAATGTCGCAGGTCTTCGCTTCCATTAGGATCTCCGTAGGTCAGAGGAACAGAGCCTAGGGACAGTGCTCTCCTAGTTGCCTCGGAATCAGTGGATAACGCAATTAGGTCGTCAATCGACAGCGCAGGCGACGAAACCGTTGTTGACATGTCCAACGTGTCATGATTCTCATGAGTGTCGATCCACTATTTTGGCTCATTAACTTGGGTACGCTAGACAATGGGTACCGCTGCTTACCGAATTGAGCTCAAATTGTCTGATACTATTCATACTTTAGTTGGCAACCCCTTAAAGCAACGCGTTAAGGGTGTTTATGAAACTGAAATTTTATAATTTCGTGCCTGGTTGACTATCAGTAAGGCGTGGAAGTGACGCGAAAGAATTACAAGAGAAAAGCGAAAGCATGTAATGACTCTGGTCTTGCTACTCCGTGGTTTACTTATATACTTTATCTAGTTCTCAAGTGGCATAGGTGGTTTCAGAAGTTGCCAATCATACGGTGCGTCATTCTTTTGGGTCCACTCCAATACTCTTCTCTCAAATGCGCTGCGACAGCGTAAGCAAAGATGGCTGCCTGCACCAATGTTCATCCTTTCCCTTGCTGGCAGTCTTGGTGCTGGCTGGGTCTCAGCTTAGCGGTGTAGGGCTTCATCTGTATATTCGCTCTTAGGATGGCAGCATTATCTGATATACTGCACTCCAGCGCATTCATATTACTGACAGCCCTGCACCCCTTTACCTCAATTTAAACAGGCTTAAGGCTGATATTATGTGCTAAGTCGGTCAAATTATGCGCTAACCGGACATGGACAGAAGCCACGAATACGAGGGATACACACAACCGTTCCGAAGGGCGTGGTAAGTATGCTACCCGAAAAAACCGGTTTTCAGGCACGAAAGACTCCAATCAACTTCTCTCCATTTTTAACCACCCTGTGGGCGTATGGTGGCCTGGAAATTGGGAAATTATAGAAAGAAGCCAAGTGACTAACCCCAATAAACTGGAGACCATCTCACTGTCAACTGTGCTCTGCCTTTGCACAACATACTATTCATAATCTGGCAATGGCAACCAACTTAGCCCAGTATGAACTCATACTCCTCGGCGCCTCAGGACATACCGGAAAGCTTTGTGCCCAATACATTGCCGCTAAGCTACCAGCTGATCTTCGTTGGGCAATAGCCGGAAGAGACGCCAGCAAGTTGGCGATTTTATCTGAGTGCTTGAAAGCTCGCGACCCGGCCCGAAAGCCGCCAGGTGAGGCTTGCCTTCTCTTTGGGAGATCTGACGCCAACTCTAGTTATACAGGAGTTGAAGTGATCCAGCTTGAGCCTGGCCAGCTTCATAATCTAGCCAAAAGAACGCGTCTTCTGATCACTACCATTGGGCCATATATGCGATATGGCTCTCTAGTGGTTGAGGCGTGCGCAGTAAATGGCACACACTATATAGATTGGTCAGTCTACTCTTAAGCTCATGACTTCTTCTAACAACTGTCAGCACGGGCGAGACACCTTGGGTGAGGCAGATGATCCAGAGTTACCATGACACTGCGAAAGCAAACGGCGCAATAGTAAGTGTGTGAGGTCTACTCTAATTTGCGTGGTTATAATATGATCTCTAACAAAGCTCTCAAAAAGATGATTACACATTGCGGTATTGAAAGCGTCCCTGCTGATATCTTAACACTGGCTATGGTGAATCATATCCAACAGAAGTTCTCCTCTCCAACATTAGAGGTTATCACCAGTATTCACTCAATTAATCATGAGTTAACCTCCGGAACTGTTGCAACGCTGCTCTCATTTGCTGAATTATATACACTTAACGAACTTATTACGTCTTTAAGCCCATACGCATTATCTTCTCGTTTCAACATCTCAAACACAATCTCTCAGTATGCAGCATTCTTTGAAGGACTCACCAGCATCCGTCGCGTCCATGAACTCGGGGTCTTGACAGAATGCATTCAGGGCAGGATTGACACAGCTCTAGTGCATCGCAGCCGGGAATTACTCGCAGAGGAGCTGCCTAAGTCGTACAGCTCTTCTTTCCGTTTCAAAGAGCTCATGCGATTTGAAGACCCTTTGCTTGCCTTACTCTTCCATTGGAGGTGGAAGATGTGTATTCTGCTTTTCTGTTTCCCGCCTTTTCGCTGGATTATGAGGCACATCTATTGTAAGGTGCCTGCTAAGCTTGGCGCGCCCTCAGCGAAGACGGAATACGCGAATTACCATGGCATCGCCACCGCCGACACGGCAGAGCGTCAGAAAGTGTTTGCTGTGTTCGAATGGAGCGGAAGCCCGTACCTGTTAACGGCATTGGCTCTTGCTGAGGCTGCGATGGTTCTGCTGAGGGGTAACAGTGACCGTTTGAGCAAGCTCGGAGGTGGCATCTTGACACCTGCCTGTCTAGGGCAGGAATATATCGACCGACTTAGCAATGCGGGTGTGAAAATTGAAGTTAATAGCCTCTAAGAGGTGTGTTCTCTTGTGTTTTAGACCATTGCACATTATGACTGGAAGCATAATACTTCAAGGTTTACTGACCAAGGACAGTGCAAGAAACAATGTTGTGCATAACTGACAAAAACAAGATAGCTTTTATCTCCGGAAAACAGTCTTGTAGACTGATGCGAGCCGAAAGAGGACAAGGCGGATTCTGGTGTTTGAAATGTTCATCTGCGACATATTTCACAGAGATGGGTTACACTGTCCTATACATATCAGGCTGAGACTGCTGGTTTTGTACCAAGTACAACTACCATGTGTGTCGGCGGGCGTACATACACCACTAGGTATCTTGACAATACAGCTATCGAACGGACACATATATACTGTAGACAACAGATGGGATTATTATGTACTAATACGGCTAACAATTTTCTGAACCTTACCTTGCTAAGGCTACTTATCTGCAATGGATGTTGTCAATGTGAGTAGGATGCGTTGTAATTGTGACTGAGTTGATTAGGCAGTAGATTATTCAACATGGGACAAATGTGCAGTCTATCCCAGAAGCTGTGGATCACTGGACGTTGAGTCGTTTAGTAACTAGTGAGGTTCTGATTAGTCAGAAATTGCAGAGTTTTTTAGGGTCAATATCTAGTTATTTAGGGAATATTGACGTTTGACATCCAGTTATATTAGACCCTGTAAGGGTATTATCCTGAAATTTAATATTAAGGCAGCTATATAGTGATTTTAGCTAGAGCTAGAATATAAATAGCCGAAGGTAGAGGTTAGCTAGGGCTGAAATTAGTAGTATATGCCCTTACCATATGTCTTATAACAGGTCCACCTTAGCATAGATATAGTGTTACGGGTTGATTCTAATCCTCTTCTAAACTCTACTAGCTCCTTTCTACTACGTAGTACCTACTATTTACAATCAAGCTAACGTGTGTGTAAATATAGAGAATTGTATCTTTTAAGTAGGTTCTTACCTCATTCTTTTATCACCTCTAGGGAAGCTCGAGAGCAATAGGAACAGGAAGAATATAAACATAAGAACACAAAAATCCAGCAGCAAGTTCGCCGACTTAAAGTAGTCGCTCACCTTAGTATCTGACCAGGAATAGGCAGACCTCCCTGATGTCAAAGACCTTACCAGTGAAAATAGATGAGCAAAGCAGAACCTACAGATTAGACCTAGGCAGGTGTTCCAGGTAACCCAACTGAAACATATGTCAAGCCTAACTTAGGCTGGGTTTTGGGCTTAAGGGGTTGTTCTAAGTTAGGTTTAAGAACAGCACTTAGATTAGTACCTAATAAGATCTATGAAATATTTTTAAAACTAAGTAGAATTATTCGCCTTAGCATGGCTTAATTACGAAATTATACTAAACCAAAACAACCTAGGTAGCCTAACTAGGTAGCCTAGTTAGGTTCTAGGCTGGGCTTAGGCTCAGGGGAGTATTCTGGGGTTTGGGCTCAGGGGGAGTGTTCCAGGTTGGGTTTTGCCTAGGTCTAAAGGTAGGATATAGACTCTAGAGTGAAGATAGACTCCTGTAGTTAGGAAACCTTATGGGCACCCTTAAGTAGTATGGGACCCATGGACTCTGCTCACGATACCAGTACTAGGTTTTATTAAGCTTAGCTATGGATGTGGTGTTGACCTAGACCTGTGAGTCCCTATATAGGTTAGTGGACCTGTCTGGCATGCAAGGATCCTCTTCAAATCCGTATGCAGAGCATCACAGAGCCTTGCAGATGGGTGAGCTGCAGCTGACTGCATTGCACCCCAGTTATCACTGTCTTAGCTCTCATCTCTAATTGCCTGCAGTTATGGGTTAATGGTTGAGAAAAAGCGCAAATCGAGGAGAAAGGCGGTATCAATCTTCAGCCTTCAGCTGGGCAATGGCCAATGGTACCCTGCGGCTGTTTGGGCACTCCCAACTTACCACACCGTCATATGGTCCCGTTACTGAGCCCATGTTTGTCCAGGCCACGATGCGCCGGAATACGTCGGATCCACCTGACGAGACTGGATACTTCAAGCGTTTCCAATATTTGCCGCTAGTATCATGACATTCTCCCGTGTAAGCTGCTGTTTTGAGGGCTTATGCATACAATCATCATCAAGATTGTCCAGAACTCTGTAGGACAGCGAGTAACTATCTGGTGTGCCAATTTTGCCCTCAAAATAAATGGAGTGTTACTTGTCAGGTTGTGAATCCCACAGACCTTTTGAGCCTTGGTGCCTCGGCCCAACTATTAAGTTGGGGTCATTGGCTACGCTGGAATTTCCTGCTTGTAGGCTTAAAGAGATGGCTGCGAATGTATAAATCGGCTACTCAAACAAGGCAGACAACTACCCGCATAGAGGCCTAAACAGTATCGGTATCCATATGTCGGAATCTCAAGGCTCAATAGATTGACTAGAGCATGATTTAACCAATTAAGTTCCTTACAAATCGACCCTAACTATAGAGGACATTGACGATAAAAATACTTAAAATCAAGAACAGGGATACTATGTAAGCTCTCTCCTTAGCGCTTCGCCGGCTTGCAGATTGTTGTTCTCATCACTCCGGAGCAGGAGGCCGTACTCCTCTGGGAAGCATTTAAGCGAAGTATTAGTTGGGTATTCAGCAGTGGCATAGTGCACGGTGACACGGAGCCCGCCGACCTTTTCCAACGGAATCTCTTGACCGGACGGCTGCGGGAATGCTCTGTTAGTGTCTTGAGGTCTAAAGGAACTTGAAAGAGGAGGAACGCAATAATACCGTAGAGACGGTCCAAAAGAGTTGGTCTTGTAGTTGCACCCCAACATCACGGGGTTGCAAGTTGAATGCATCTGGAAATTCTGGATCCAACGCTAAACTGCACATAGGGAGTGTAATCGGTACTTGGGCTTTTGATTTCACACCGCCCTCTTTCTGCTCTGCACAGTTTGGACAATCAGGCAGCACGGGAGCAGCGAAATTATAAAAGGAGCCCAGATGCCGAGTCTGCCCCAGTCTGCCGGGCTGGTCTTCTCCCTTGACAAAGAAACTAACAATGTATGGGTCGCCATCCAGTGCATACCTATTATTGGGCCAAAGTCAGATAGAACAGGGGCGATCCTATACAATCAAGACGTACCGATCGTATTCGGCATTTATGATATAGTCTTTAAAATGACGATCCTCAACGCCGTCGACCAGATGTCCTTCGTTTGTCTGCATTCGCTTCGCCTTGAGGACTGTGACGCTCTCGCCGTATTTGTCTCGTATGACTTTCTTTAGCGCATCGGTATTGGTATTAACCAATTCAGGATAAGTGTATCCTAATTTCGTAAAATCTCTAGTAGAATCCGAAGAGTAGACTTGCCCTTCTGCGTTTCTATGGAAGGGTGTCAAGTTTTCGTGCTTGGGGTTTGAATCACCATCATCTCCCCAGGTCTTGTCAAACCACTTATTGGGATTTAGATATTGCCATATTGCAAAAAGCCGATCGACGTTACTTGCCTGCTGTCAGCGTATTATCTGGCAGTCGTGCGGGTGGACGATGTCCTTACCAGTGATGCAGCCAGAAGATAGGATCAAATGCTGCGACAGGGACGTTTGCCATGTGGCCCTCCAGTCCATTAGATCCTCCTGTCCAGAGCTGGCCTTGTTAGCTTTCATGCTCCAGTAACTTCACAGAGTCACCCTACATGGATGTGGTTATGAATCTCTTCCAACGAGAAAAACTCTCGCGCTGGAATCGTATACTCGTTCTTGAACCGCGTGGATGCGAACGGCCCATACGATTTAAAGTAATCCTCGCTGAGGATGCGAAAAACGTTGTGCGCAATAGTCTGGTCGCCACCACCCTTTTTCCAGCGGTGTTGTGTGAAGCTGTTGGTGACCTCATTGTTATTCACAATCCCATTCACCCAACCTTCTTCAGCAGGGTTATCATAGCGGCTGGTTCCAATCCAATTGTTGTAGATGGGCTTTTTTTCGTAATCGATAGCAAAATCTCCCATTTTTCCCTTGTCACCCACATTGACCTTTTCGCCATTGAGTTCATTAGTGAACTTGTAAAGGGGGTTTGGAACCAATTCCTTATCCTTGCCTCCAAGCTTGAGGATCCAGACTTCGCTGTCGTCCACAATCTTCGGCACACCGAGCCTTTCCTTCCCAGCTCCATAGTCAACCTGAGGAAGAGCCCAGTCCCAATATGGAAGACGCCATGTTTCCATTGCGTCATTCCAGTCGTTCTTTGCAGGGTTGCTGTCTGGAATAGCAGGAATGATTTCATGCTTCATGATGTTGTAAAGGCATTGCTACATGGTGTCATTAAACAATGAACCAAAGCATTGCAGGGCTGCAACAGTGCACTATACCTCATACAACATCATATAAGGGCGGTGCCATGTGGGGAACCTAAATTTATTATGGGGACAGTAGAATCCACCTGGTACATTGTCCCACTCCACTTTCGGATAACCATGGATCCCTACAGTACGATTAGTATTCACTTATTGCAAGACAACCTGTGCTATTGCTTACCAGCAACTTGGTAGTAAGATAGTTTATCCTTAATTGGATTCTTTTCTTGCAGCTTACGCACAGCTCGAATAAACAGAGAGACCTGAATTTGGTCCTTAGGGTCGGAGGATACCACCCAGCTAGCAACCTCTCGCCGTGGAGGCGGTTCTTGTCCACTTGGAACCGGGATGCCGGTAATGGGATAATAAGATTCCTCCATAGCGAAGAGACCTCAAATAACCTAGGATTGATGTGCCTAAACTAAACAGTCAGCTCGAGTAGAAGCTATCTCCTTATTTATGCCTGTCTCTCCCCATTCAAGGAGTAAGTGGAAGCTGTCTGGATATCCGTCAGGAGCTCAATATTAGCTTTATGGTCCCGGTAGCCATTACACCCTATGATGAAATCCTTGTTGGACTTCCTTCCGTTTGCATCTTCAATGGCCCTCTAGAGTCATCCTTTGTGCTACCAATCTGTTCTGCAAAAATGCAAGCCTGCCCACTGAAGTAGAGTTTGCTTCAATAATGCGATCACAATCAAACCAATAAGCTATCAACGAATAAGATGCCTACCCCAGAGACCCGGCCAGTGTATCCAGTTGCCATGTTCAATGTTTTGCCATATGGGTCCAAAACAACCAGGGAATCGCGATTTTGGCGTACGTCATTTCCTGCAAGCAGCTCGAAAATAAGCATGGGCAAACTCCCACTCCGCTCACTCATATAAATGGATCTTTACGCTCCATTCGCTCAATTCTTCACTTGCAGTTAGATCTATTTGATACAATATTTCAACATCGGAATACAGTGAAACAGCGCTCGTCATGGCGTCTATGGACAAGGTCTTTTCGGGATATCATGCCCGCCAGAAGCTGCTTGAACGGAGCGACAATCCCTTCTCTAAGGGCATTGCCTATGTGGAAGGAAAGTTCGTCTTACCCAGAGAGGCCAGAATACCGCTACTTGACGAAGGCTTCATGCACGGTGACCTAACTTATGATGTTACAACGGTCTGGGATGGATGTTTCTTTCGATTGGATGATCATATGCAACGGATCCTGGAAAGCTGCGATAAAATGCGGCTCAAGTTCCCACTTGCACCGAGTACGGTGAAAAATATCCTGGCTGAAATGGTCGCCAAGAGTGGTATTCGGGATGCGTTTGTGGAAGTTATCGTGACACGTGGTCTGACAGGTGTACGTGGTTCGAAGCCCGAGGATCTGTATAATAACAACATATACCTGCTTATTCTCCCATACATTTGGGTGATGGCGCCTGAGACCCAGCTCGTTGGTGGCAGTGCTATCATTACAAGGACAGTGCGACGAACACCCCCGGGTGCATTTGATCCTACAATCAAAAATCTACAGTGGGGTGACTTAACAAGGGGACTTTTTGAGGCAATGGACCGTCGCGCTACGTACCCTTTTCTCACTGATGGAGATACCAACCTTACTGAAGGATCTGGATTCAACATTGTCTTGGTCAAGAACGGAATTCTCTATACCCCTGATCGAGGTGTCTTGCGAGGAATTACACGTAAAAGTGTGATTGACGTTGCCCGTGCCAACAACATCGACGTCCGCGTTGAGGTCGTACCAGTGGAGCAGGTTTATACCTCCGATGAAATCTTCATGTGCACGACAGCCGGTGGCATTATGCCTATCACGTTGCTTGATGGTCAACCAGTTAATGACGGCCAGGTTGGCCCAATCACAAAGAAGATATGGGATGGTTACTGGGAGATGCACTACGATCCAGCGTATAATATTCCGGTCAACTATGGCAGTGGCTAACGGGAGCGATGAGATCATCCGAATATCGTGCCGGTTTGCTTGTGGTCCTTGCTTGTGCCCCTGGGTCTTCATGTTTTCTTGCTATGCTTTGCAGCAGATAGCACATTCAAGTTACTAAGTTAAATAAAATTACTAAAATGTCCTGTCCTTTGCATAGCTGAGATGTAGCTTCTTATGATAGCTCACGTGCTCTGTCAAAGACACGATTTAGGCAAAGAGCGAATGCCAGTGCCACTCAGGCCAACACTCGGCCTGATACATCCTGTCCAGAGTCATGATGATTGTCGTATACTGCGCTGTTCATTGACAATACCCAAGGGATACGTTACCATATGGTTGAAGGTCGGTGTTGAAGCTACCGCCATGTGGTAGTAGTATTTAATTACAATTTGTTTTAGATTATTGTGGCTAGAGTCAGGCGCCTCGCTAGTTAGTTTACTGAACAGAGGATTAAGGTGGTGTGGAACATTAAATGACGCTCTGGCTGGGCACTCACTTGTTACTTTGGGTATCAATGTATCAAGTCTTGGTTATAGTTGGTTCATTAATTAGACCTCAGTGATTCTAGTGTCCATTCTTCGAAACCGTAGCACCAACTTCGCTTGCTGATACGGAATTTAGATCACGCCCTTTGATATTCCATGGTCCAGCAACATCTAGATGAGAATATGATTATTACATTGAAATGATAAGAAGCAATCAGAGATTGTTGCATAGGTTTACGTTAATTGACGCTTGCGACTAGAATCATGTCAGACAACGTCCTAACCCGGATACATCTACATCTTGTGGCATCGCCGTTACATCATACCGGCGATCTAGTTATGGTAGGAAGATGCGACATCGGACCCACCATGAGGGATGAATACAGTAAGAAGACCGCCCAGTTCTTAAACTTTGCTTTTCAAACTTCAGTCAGGGAACGACCCTAGTTTTTGGTTCAAGTCGATTGCTTCCTGTTGGAACAAAAGATCACTAAGCTAAAAGGTATCCAGCCGATGTACTCGTCATCAGGTTAGGTGACCCGCGGAATGGCGATCCAAGACCTCCAAACATTGGGTACAGATAGAAGGGACTGTATCTAGCTCAGTACCCTCACGGATAAGGACGCTTCAAGGATCAAAAGAGAGGTAGACGCTCCGTACGGTGTTCCATACTATTGACCGCGGCATAAGTACCCAAGCGTCATCGGCTATCTAGGAATTTAAAGGTAGATCCCAGGTCTTTTACCTATAGATATAGTACGTGTTTCTGTATGTGGTAGATATATGAAGTTTTGAAATGCTCTTCTTTCCCAAGAATGTCACGTTAAGGTGGCCTCCTACCTTGGACTGGCAGGGTCACCCTAGTGCGAGACTCCGAAATCTACAGGAAGGGTAGATTAGTAGTAATGTTACGGGAGTGACCTACAACATGATGGCTGATCATATCCCAGGTAAGGTAATTAAATGATGATTAAACCTAATATGAGTAACTGATCCGTAACAAAGGCTAGGAGCTAAGTTTTGACCTCAAGTACATGATACAATCAAACTGATTACTTGGCGGACTGCTTGGCAATATTCGTCAGTGCTTTGATCGATGGAGAAAAGAAATACTCCCCTCCCTTAGGGATCACGCAGCACTTCAAATCAACATGGATATTTTTGTTCTGGCCGTCACATAATCCCATAACAAATGGGTCAGGCCCGTTAGGCTGGCCACAGATGGGGTCGGCACCAGGTCCTGGAGGGCCTGTAATAACTCTCTTCTGCGGGGGGAAGGTGTTCTTGTTACACCAGTCTGCTCACAATTGTTAGATATCAGGGGAAATCCAGTACGTGGTTATTGATGCTGTGGTAGGATTGCTTACGCTCTTGAACTCGCCTGAATCCATTCGCAATGTTGCTTTGGTAGCACAGAAACAGCATTCCACGCTCCTTCTGTGTTGCCTGTTGATCGTGCTCTTCTTTAGTGACTTCATCCCCATAGGGTATGCCCCGACGCATCATGGAAAAAGTAGATGTATCCGTGACATCTCCCCGGGGTCTGCACTTGCGGATATGCGCGGCGAATGGACACTTTTCCTGATTATTGCCGGGTTGAAAGTCAAAGTTATTGCAGTCAGCGAGCGACGGATTATCTTCGCATGGCGTAAGAAACACAGGGGCACCTGTGTCATGTTGTAAGTTTTTGTCATGAATATACAGTAGGCTGAGGCACAAACCGCTCTTCCATCTGCCCATTAAGCGTGCTGAAAGCTGATCAGCGGTCAGATGATTCTTAGGAGCCGTGTCATCCAGCCATCTAAGCCCTCGTCAGTAGATTGCCAGTGAGATATTCAGACTTCTACTTGCTTACTTGTTGAACTCAGGCACCAGCTGTTTCAACTTGCGGAAGACAAGGAAGCTACCGTCCGTCGCCCAATCCGGCTGACCAACAGGCTCTTGGTCGGCATTAGTTATAATATATCTAGAAGGAGGTAATATTAGTACTAGTTCGTGCAAGTAGTTTTTCAGGAAATCGTGCCTACCCTGGCGGTACAAGTGGCGGCTCATATTTGCCCTTGGGAGCCGGGTCAAGCCCCTCCAGCTGGGGTTGGGAGATGAGGTCACGGTAACCGAAGCTGATAACGGTCAGATGCCCATTTTTTTCCAGTAATTTTGCCTCTTCTCACTGTTCATTGCTGCTGTTGGGATCTGGCCGCACATGCCCATACTCTACGAAGAGCTCCTTGATGCTGGAAGTGAAACCAAAATATCCAATGAAGAGATATTTCACCTTGCGCAGTTTTGCTCGCGCAGTCTCCTCAGATCGGCCGGTGACAAGAATCACACCATCAATATATTGACCTTCGACTTCGGGCTTGAATTTTGCCTCCCAGTCGTCTGGATTATCCCGACCTTCACCACCGGCAACTCCACCTTGCAAGTCTGCAAGCATACCTCCTAGGAAGTTGCCAGATCTCAAATTGTCCTTATCATCCTTGAAAAGCTAGGTAGTGGTATTAGATATGATCCTCGAACCAGGAGAAGAGATTGTGGGGCTTACTTTTTTCAATCCTTTGGCGCTCAAGGCTAAGTTTACACCGGTGAGTGGAATCACTTCGGACTTTGCTTCTCCGCTGGGCACCTCAGTCTTGTTCTGTCTGATCTGCTCATTGAATTTAACAGCATCATTCGCTGTGGTAATCAGTGGAATAAGTGTTTTCAGGTCTCTACGAAACCTCCTTTCACAGGTAATATTGAAAAATAAAAAGAATTCATGGAGCTTCGGCAAACCCGGCCTAAGAAATGTTACTATTGTAGGCCGGCCGGAAAGCTCGGCCAGGCGCACTCACCAGATGTTGCCTTGAATGTTGTCCTTATTAATATCGAGCTTATTCATTCTTTCAGAGGTCATGTTGTCAGACAATGTATTCTGGTCGAGCAGGCTGTAGCGTAAGTCTTAGATAAATGGCGAGTGATATAGAGGAAAAGAACCTAATGAGCAATCACAGATTTATGTATCACTGCCCTTAGATTTTCTCCAATAATCCATAAATGCCAACGCCTGTTCCATGGTATCTAGTAGATGCAAAGGTATGAAAGCTAAATCTAACAAACCCGCACGCGGAATCCTCTCATACACAGAGTGAGAGGAAAAGTATGCCACTGTTGAAACTATAAGAGGTGTAAGCGTAATCGACTTCTTGCATATCAGTGCCGCACGTTACATCAAGCAAAAGAGGAGTGCAGCTAGCAAAGATGAGGTCTCAAATATTTGGTTCATGACGCTCCGAGATGAAACGGACACCGACGTAAAAGTCTTGTATGAATGTTGCTAGTGCTTAAATTCAAAAGCAAGTCATGACGCCTACTGCTTCATGAGCTCACACTTTTCACCCATCCACCGCTCCCCAATGTAGCGTAGATCAGGCAGTCATCTCTTGAGCGCTACCTTATTAGAATTTCGATGGGGCTAGAAGATGCTAGGGTACTCCGCGGATGTGCTGTGCCCAGCATAGCTGGAAATGTTCGAGTCTAGTTATAAGGCGCACGTTTGCGTCTTTGTAACTAGGGACAGTTCGTACGATAGCAGCTTAGAGTCTCAACCACTATGGTCGTTCGGTCTTGGATATTGGAAAGGTAGATGGTATTATTTCTTTGAATAATGAGCCCGAGCTTGTTTATGAAGAGTGGACTATGGTGGGGCTTTTTATTTCAAGAAATAGCCTCCAAAACTCTAGTCATAGGATCATTTATGCAGGATGAGTGCCAACTACATTACTGCCCATGCTTAGATTAGTAGCTCGTCGGCGCTTTTGCTCCGCTGCTGCCAAAGGGTTGCCTCGATGGAAACGTGGGCGCTCACGATAGGATGGTACCCGGAGAATGCTAGCCGGTATAAGAATAGAGAATACATTCATGGGAGAAGTACAAAAACAAAACTCTCCATATAGACCCAGTAAGTTTAAATTTCTTCACAGATCGTTGTAAGGAGTGACTCGCAGATCTAAGTCTTGACTGTCCTTTCGTAGATGTCTTGCATTCTGTCAAGAATGGAAACCCAATTATCGAAGGGCACAAAAGGAATCCCTTTCTGTTTGCAGTACTTCATTAGATCTGAATTCAATGGTTAGTATCTTGTATAACAAGAAATACAAGCAGTATTTTCCTTCGATTGGATGTGGAGTCAAGGAGAACACTTGCCTAGACCTTCTTTGGCAAACAGGATGTCTGTTTCGGACGCAGCAGAGAGATCTGAGACTCCATCTCCTGCAAAAGCCACCACAGGACGTTCTCCGTCAGGCAATGCAGCACAATGCTTGATTTCTAGCGATTTGTCGTGTCCAAATATGCTATAATGCTTGCTATGTCAATACACCTCAACGAACAGTTTTAATCACTGGCCCACTTGCCTTTCGTCGCGATATTTAATCTGCCATCCACCAACCATGTTGATATGTTTACCGTTGTGAGGTGCGATGTTGTTTGCATTGACATATATATTGCTAGGCTTGCCGGCGAATAAGGAAAACAGTAATGCCTCTATCATAGGCGTCATTCCTGATGACAGAATCACAATCGGGATACTTTTCTCTTTTGCCCAGAGATAGAAGTTGACAAAACCGGGGTCGAGCTGTATACTTTCCTGCACGATGCGAAGGCACTCGTTGAAAGGCAATCGCACGCTGTCAAGCATGGCCTGAAAAGCATCCCTGGGAGGGTCATTCTTCGGCTCACTATTGTAGGTCTTGGAATTTCTACGCCATTAGCACGTACCTGAATGCCAAAGTTCCATTTAGGACTTCTAGCTCAAGCATCCGGCGTTTTTCGGCCCCGAAGCCAAAATTGTCGACCTGTACAGATGGTTAGTTGTTGTGAACAATTGTTGGCATATGTTATTTACTAGGTAGTCATTGCCTAACCAACTTCTTAGTAATGGCTTCAAGAGACATGCAGTTATGAAGATGGTGAGCATATGTAGCTTACAGTCCTGCAAAGTAACAGTTCCGTCGAAATCAGTGAAGAAAATCACTCTCGGGCTACCATTCAAGTAATGGTGCCCGCCCTCCATTTGTGGGGAGCTTTGGGGCATATTTTGTCCTATGCTGCTTCGGAAGGAATGTGAGAATTGACATATACTTGGGAGAACGGCGGAGGTACATTTTTGATTTATTTATCCAGAGAGTGACGGAATCAGATATTCTATTGAAGCTGACGGCCGGCTATCCTTAAGAAAGGCAAACTTGCCATTTATTTTTTCCACTTCCATATGGTATGGCTCGTGGAGCAGATTCCGAAGGCTAGGTAACGTGGACCATCTTCAAACGCAGGAGGCTAGCCCGGTCGGCTTGGTGACACAAGAACTCCCGGCCGCTTTAAGTCTAGATCGTCCTCAATGTTTCAGCCCTGGAGGATTCGGAGCCGACATTGGATATGGCACAATGTGAGATAGAGTCTCCAGGGAGGGTGACAATCTTTGTACACTGCTGCGCACAGTCTGATACTAAGTTATCGGCCCATACTTGGTTACTACTTGTGATAGATAGGTTATCACTGCAACCAACTGCCGAGAGCCCGCAATGGGGCCTGTTAGCCGCATATTTGTCACATACCATGCACTGTCCATTACACGCAGTGACAGCACCATGGTGGGTCTTAGAATGTACGACATGCCCGTTAGCTACAAATCAAGTCCCACAATTGTTCCATGTTCCAAATAACACCTTCCCCAGGAGTGCCAAGACACAGATGTTCGACCCAGCTGTTTCCATCCGCAGACTATTTGTGAATCCCTCGAAGCAGGCTTTGTTTGCATGGCAGAGAGACGGGCAGATACAATAGTTGCGGTCTAGCCATTTCAGACGCTGAATTTGTCATGTGGGTCAGCTTGATATAATTGAGTGACATGGCTGTGACCGTGTCTGGATGCAAACGGCCGATTGCATGCCCAATAAACTGTACTACCTGAACAGATAGATATGACAAATATATTACTTCTTTCGGTAGAGGTGTGCCCAGACAGATAAGCTGCGTCGTATGAGGCGGATTGCAGACATTCTATGATGCGAGGAGACAGCCCATATCTACCACAAGATAACGTGTGACGATAAGCCATTTTTGCGCACTCCACACAGCGAAAGCATATATTCAGCCTTTTAGTACAATGTAAGAACTTATCGCCTTAGGGTTCAAGATAGGTGAACCCCTGCAAGCATAATGTCTCTGGATGAGGACGTCAGTAAAATGTATTGCACATGTTACAGCGCAGTCCTTCGGTGTGTCGAGGACATGAAGTGTTACATTCCCGCTGACACTCTTATGAACATATCACACTGAGGACCAGATAGGCACCATAATTTTAGCTTATAGACGGGCGTCATTGTGAAAGCTACGACCTTGGATGGACAACGGGTGGTCTAGCTGAACACTATATTTCTTCTGACCCATGTTGGACGCGTTCGGTAGTGGGTTTGAAAGACAACATACAACCTGTCCATCTCGCAGTCACGAAATGACAAGAACACTATTTAATTGAGTAGTCCGTAGGATTGGGGCCTGCTGTCACAATGGCCTGCCTCTTTTATTAAATTTGAATGAACGTTCTATCGATATTATAAGCAGAATGGGTTCTGTCTCCGAGCCAGCTTACCTTTACAAAAATGTCGTCCACGACCCAGCAGTACCTTCTGTTCAGTCTGCCAAGGGAATGTACATTCACCTTGATAATGGGCAGATAATTCTCGACGCCACCTGCGGCGCGGCTGTCTCTGCTATCGGACACGGTGAAGAACGTGTGAAGCAAGCGATAATCTCGCAGCTTGATCAAGTCGAATACTCCCACCCTGGATTCTTTCCTAATGCACCAGCTATGCGGCTCGCAGATATGCTTGTCGAGTCTACAGGCGGAAAGTTGTCTCGGGCGTGCATTCTGGGGTCCGGTAACGTCCTCCCTCAGTATTCCTTGCCTAAGAACTCATTTGGCGCCAGACTGACTACGTGGGTTCCATAGGTTCGGAGGCCGTCGATGCCGCAATGAAGCTTTCCCACCAGTACTTTGCAGAGGAAACGCCAGACACCCGACGAACCAAGTTCATCTCAAGACGCGGTTCTTGGCATGGCTGCACCTTGGGGTCTCTGTCCTTGGGAGACTTCAAGCCGAGGAAGGATCGGTTCAAGCCAATTTTACATCCCAATGTAACCCATGTATCGGCATGCGACCCGTACCATGCTCTCAAAGATAATGAAGATCTGGAGACGTATGTGGCTCGACTCAAGCAGGAGCTGGACGAGGAATTCCAGCGACAGGGACCTGACACCGTCTGTGCCTTTTTCCTTGAGCCAGTGGCCGGAACAGTACGCGACTCTCTATCTCTTACTGGACTTGACAAACATTGACCGCTATGAAATTTAGGCCCTAGGCTGTGTTGCCGCAGTACCTGGCTACCTGGAGGCCATGCGGGAAGTATGCGACCGCTACGGTGCACTTCTGGTCTTTGATGAGATCATGTGCGGCATGGGCCGTACCGGAGCCATGCACGCTTGGCAGGTGGACGGTGTCGTGCCTGACATCCAACTTGTGGGCAAAGGTCTCGCAGCGGGATACGGAACCATATCTGCCCTCCTTATCAACGATCGCGTTGTTTCTGGGCTGAAGCAAGGCGGAGGATACTTTGTCCATGGACAGACCTACCAATCGCACCCGCTTGGTTGTGCGGCTGCAGTTGAGGTTCAGCGCATTGTCAAGGAGTATAATCTTGTCAGCAACTGTCGGGAAATGGGTGAGTACCTCGGAATGCAACTGAAACTGCATCTCGGAGATCATCCACATGTGGGCGATATTCGAGGGAGAGGTCTTTTCTGGGCAGTAGAATTCATGGAAGACAAGGAGAGTAAGGCTCCGTTTGATAGTAAGCTTACCCTCAGCAAGCGCCTACAGACCAAGGGACTAGAAAAGGGCTACGACATCTGTCTGTTTGCAGCTACCGGTGCGGTAGATGGGTGGAACGGTGACCACTTCTTGCTTGCACCGCCATACACTGTTGGAAAGCAGGATGTGGACGAGATAGTGGGTCGGGTTGTTAAGGTAATTCATAGTGTTTTTGAGGATATCTATGCTTCGAAGCAGCAGCATCCTTATCACCAAGGTCTTTGATTTCTGTCTTATTGTCTGGGTTTATGGCTGCTTTCGGGATGGATTTGCTTTATTGTACCTGCAAGAACATAGTAATAATAATTTTCTCATATTTGATGGTCCTCCTCCTGCACTGATAGACTGACATCCGTGGATTTTGGATAGTCAAATACTACCGTGTCAGATAGCAGGCGATTGGAAACAAAAAGTTTTTAGGGTTATGACCTTCCGTGGATCAAGGCCACTATGCCACTCACTCTTCTCAACCTAATCTTCCGCTGTAGCCGCTGCCTAGGAAGTAGGGTTACATTAACGTAGTCTGGAATGCTTAGTAATTCCATGAAATTTGGAAGTCAGAAGCAAGGGTTACGGATTGATACGCGCCGAGTTTTATGCCACAATTCTGACCGGGCCTATTTCCTTCTCTATACTTCTTCCTTCCCTGTTCGTACCCTATTCTGTTTCGCCTTTATCTTTGCTCGGTTGTAATCCTCTCTTCTTTAAGTTAGATCATCTCTTTGGAGAAGGTAAACAAAAGAAATGCTGGAAACAGATTCTACAACGCCCCTATTATCATCCCGGTCTGAAAGGTACGTTGATTATCAGGCCATTATATCAGATCAAAGTCTTCCTGCTGGAGATGACTTGCGCAATACGGACATTCAACCAGAAAAGTGGAATGAGTCTCGGACGAATGTTTGGCGCATTTTAGCCACCTTCTACAGCTTTGTCGTCGTTGGAGCAAATGATGGCGCATACGGTGTACGCCATAAGTCAACCATTTTGATATATCGTGTGCTAATCGCGCGTCATGTATAGGCAATGATTCATTATGTATGTTTATCCCATAGATTTTCATGCCCGCGCGTATCGATGATTCACAGTTGACTCCCTGCTTATACTGGCCTTCCAGTTGGGAAAATATTATGGTGCGGACTATACGACTGTTTCACTCGTGTTCCTTTCCCCGTTCATCGGTTACGCAATCGCTGCTCTTGGGAATAATTGGATACACGATCGCTTTGGACAGCGCGGCATTGCATTAATCGGGGCAGGGTTGCATATAATCTCATACCTTGCGACTACCACACACCCACCCTATCCGGTCCTAATTGCTGTATTTATCGTATCGGGGCTAGGAAACGGTATTGTGGATGCCTCCTGGAATGCATGGATTGGTGCCATGCACAACAGCAGCCAGTTGATGGGAATCTTGCACGCGTTCTACGGTCTAGGAGCAGCTCTGGCGCCGTTAACAGCAACCTACCTCATCACGGACAGAGGTTGGAAGTGGTACGAGTTTTACTATGCAATGGCCATTGCAGCAGGAATGGAATTCCTGACCTCGGTGGCAGCCTTCTGGTCTTCGACAGGGTCAGGATCTAAAGATCCGGATGCCTGTACAGACGGAACTCTGTCATCCGATAGCTCGGATAACCTTGCGTCCAGCACACCACCAAGGAAACCCACTCTGGAGTCGTTAAGGATGCCATCAACATGGTTAATAAGTCTCTTTCTCTTTGTCTATGTTGGAGCCGAGGTGACTGTTGGAGGATGGGTTCTCACTTTCCTAGTTGACCTCCGAAACATGCCTTTATCTATTGCAGGTTTTGTTAGCTTCAGCTACTGGGGAGGACTTACAGTTGGTCGTGTGTGCCTCGGCTTCCTCACTCCATTTTTCAACAGTCAGCGCCTGGCAGTCCTTCTTTACTTGGGTTGGTGTATTTTCTTACATCTTACATTCTGCGTCGTTGATGACCTCCGCTTGTTAGTCCTTTCGGTGACCTTGCTTGGCTTCTTCCTTGGCCCTCTCTATCCAGAAGCAGTTATTGCCCAAGCAAAGCTTCTGCCAAAGTCTCTCCATGTCGCGGCTGTCGGCTTTGCTTGCGCTTTGGGGAGTGCCGGGGGTTCAGTATTCCCTTTCATTACTGGCGCGATTGCAAAGGGTTATGGAATCAAAGTCCTTCAGCCCATTGTGCTTGTAATGCTAGTTCTTTGCTTGGTTTTATGGCTTGTACTGCCGGAGAAACATGAAGGCGGCAGAAGGCGAGCATCTCCAGGCTCAGGAGGAGCATCTCTACTTGCTTAGCCTTGACTGTTCGGCCCTTCTGTATACATCCGTACTTCTTGAGTACTGGATTGCTGCCATGGGATTGATGGTAGGAACTTCTCGAATTTACTTGTCTTCCGTCGAGCAGAGTTAATCCAACCTACGTCGGGCTCCCAAGGTTGGTGAAAAATACCCATCAACTCAGTGTTGTGCACTATAGGTAGTCTCCCATACTAGAAAACGTGACACGGCGGAAGAAAAATGTTACTGTCTAACAATCTTTCACAGCCAATGCACCTATTCCTAGGTTTCCATGACTCACAGCCTCAGAGTCTACCATGGCTTACTGCACTTCAGCTCCCTGGATTCCTCTCGAACCCTGTACGGTACATCAGAGGTCTCAGCCTCTTATCTGGCTGTCCCCCGGTATTGCTGGACTTAGAAGCACCGAGCAGGTTCTACAGCCTACGATAGACACCATACGATAAAACCACCCAAGCCTTGATATGATCCGTTCACTCAATGACTTACGCACCATGGCGATCTGGATAAAGCATTCTCTGCCTAATGCTCGCAAGGCTACTTTACACTAGAATAAGAGTGACAGTCCCATCGCCAAAACAATTGCCTATGCCGAGGGAGGATCCGTGCTCCTTGCGAGGGCCCGTGTTCCACTACTGGATGAGGGCTTCATGCATGGTGATCTCACTTATGATGAGCAGTCGGTGTGGGTGGGGCGATTCTTTCACCTTAATCACCATATAATTAGGCTATCGAGCTGTCATTGCGATAATACGAGGCTGAAGCTGCCATTTTCCACCGTATAAGCCTTCAGTTATCATTCTGGTCAAGAATGGTATCGTGCGCGTTTATAGAGCTCATTATCCCCCGCACGCGCCAATGGAGTTACGCTCCGGGTCCAAGTTTGGGCCTCTCGAGCAAGCTTATCGTTCGTTCGAAAATGTCATGTGCACAACAGTGTGCGATGTCATAGTCTTCAGAACTCCACGGCCGTCTGATTAATGGCTGCGAAGTCGGCCTCTCACTTGTAGATTCCGGTGATGATTACAGTACCATGCGTTACGACGATGCAAATACATTCTAGGTCAATTACGGGCCATTGGCCAGCAAGCTGAATGACCGTGGTCTGGCCTCCGCGAGATACGTGCTTTCCGGGTCTCCTTTTGCCTCCTTTTGTCTTCATATGTCTGCCCTCATTGCTGTTACGATCGTGAATCTCGCTTCGTGTGATTTAATACTAAAGCAAAGAATAAAGTCATCACTGACAGTGAAGCTGGCGCTCGATGAAGGCAGTAAGATGGACAGATCGCCTCGATAATACCGCCATGGCCCGTGATGGACCTGTCTGATAAAAATCGAAGAGTATCCGTATGTAAAGCTGAAACCACAAATTCTGCGTCTACGGAAGCTTAGGGGTTCAGGTAAGCTGTTGAACAGCAGGAACATAGAGGACTCTTGAGCTGGACTGAGCCAAGGCTACTAACCTCTTGATGCCAGCTGACGGGGCTCGCGTGTTGAGTTGGTGGCCTTGCTTAAGCAGTGACGGAGCAAATATCCGTCTAGGAGTTAAGATTGCACATGATATACTGATTCTGTGTAAGGCAGTTAATAGTTGAAGTCGTTTGATGCTACTTCCACACCAGGAATCGAGACACGGGAGAGAAAGGTGGCTTCAGATATAAGCAGTATCGGTGCCATACGCACCCACACCGAGGCGGTGACGGAGCGTATCGCACCGATATACGCTCCCAAAGAAGCAGCAAAATTGGACTTTTTTTGAACCAATAATAGCTACGGCTGTACAGTTTGTTGAAGATTATCCAAGTCTATTTACATAATGATCATAATCTGTCATGACATATTTCCTGCTCGTGGACTTGTTCATATAGTAAAGCTAGTCTATGAACATAGCCATTTCTTAAAGGTAGGTTGGGTCAATTCCAAATTTCCAATCATACCGCAGGGTTACATGCCACAAAACAACCTGACCTACAAGGGAGGTGCCATATTCAATTTTACTGGTTCGTGACACCTGAGGTTGAAACGGTCGCGCAGGGACGATACAAGTATATCAATGATAAGGAGGCGATTAATATTCGAGACCAAGTAATGTCGCCAGCGTTGTATGAGGTCGTTACCTCGGTACTGTAGTATACTGCGGCATACTGCTATACGGGGCTGGCTTTATAGTTATCCCGCCCACCTCTGCTGTAAGTACTCAAGAAGTAGACGACCGGGTCGACTATCGTCGAGAAATTATCCCAGGGACTGGGGATCAGCATGGCCTGCCACGAAGCATACCAATTCATCAGTTCATAGTTCAACAACTACTGAGCACGGAGCGCGATTATATTGAGTTTCGGGTTTTATCACCACGGTGTGTTGGCACTGCTTAAGGTTTTGGATGGGGTCTGCCGAAGGGTGCGCCGTTCCAATGTGATGTGCATGTACTCGGGTGGAAGGAACGGAGAGCATGTAACGAGCAAGGACCCTGAGCATATTGTCATGTACATTTCTCGAATCCGTTGCAGTGATGACCAATGTCCCATGTTGCTAAACGTTTTTCAATGGAGAACCTCCGGAACTCGTAGTGGTGATGTGATGCGCAATAGACTGTCGTCGCTACGTTGCACTATTAGAAAGTATATGAATCTCGCTTGTCAAGGGCACGAAGGTAGATGGAGAGTCGACCGTGAACGAACCCACTGTTTGTCCTCTAATTATAGGAAAGAGTTGCAACCACCCTCAACCATACTGAATGGTAGCCCATATCAGGTATCTGAGGGTAAACCATGATTAAAACTTAGAGGGAGCCAATTGTGATGATCGATTGGACATCCCCCGCTACTACTTCTTCCGCAATCTGATTGAATTTGTCAGACTGTGTTGTAGCAAGCGATATTGTGGGTTTATGACGCACAATAGAAGGTCCTCCGTTCTTCAATCCCAGGAATCCCAGCTGTTCTTTCAAGCTTCCCGCGACATTACCAGGTGACATTAGGAGGTGACATCAGGACGTGACATCTTGGAGTGATTGCAATATATATACTTCAGCTTCATTTGTGATTTCGGTATACATATTCATTTATTACGTCTTCTAAGGGTGTTACACACTTCGCCTGCAAGAGACCATCGGGATGAATCTTAAGAAAATCAGCCCCCTGTTACTCCTCGGAGTTGCAGAGGCATACAATTACAATTTCGATTCATCAATCATTCGGGCAGTTAGTAAGGAAAGGAGGCCAGGCATTGAAGGTGGTAATGCTGCATTCGATTCAGGGGGTGAGGGCACGGGACTTTTCCAATCCCCACCCTACAACAGCAAACAGCTCGACCGCACGAACTGGGTCGCCACTTGCGATAATGCGCAACCTGGTAATGAATGTTCTAAGGCAATTGATGGCGACAACAGCACCTACTGGCACAGCGGCAACAACTCCCCATTGCCGCACAGTATCACGATCAACCTTGGCATAGTGCAGAAAGTGAGCGGCCTTGCAGTCTGGCCACGAAAGATTGAAGATGGTTGGATTGTAGCACATGATGTTTACCTGAGTTCCGACGGGAACAACTGGGGGCAGCCTGTCGCTCATGGGACATGGTGGCCTGATTCCACCGTGAAGATGGCTATCTTCGAGCCTCAGGAAGTGCAGTACGTCCGAGTCGTTGCACTTTCATCAGCAGCCGCAGACAACGCAATCAGTATTGCCGATCTGCAGATCTGGTCCGCCCAAAGCATTCCTACCGCACCAGAGGGTAAGGCCCTAAATGAAGTTGGAGCTTGGGGCCCAACCATCGACTTCCCTATCGTGCCCGCGTCCGCTGCAGTTGAGCCTAGTTCAGGGAAAGTCCTCGTCTGGTCCTCATATCGGAAGAACCAGTACGGAGGGACATCCGGCGGCTTGACTCAGACCGCTACATGGAATCCGAATACTGGTGAGGTCACGCAGCGTGAGGTTTCCGATACTGAGCATGATATGTTTTGTTCTGGCATTTCAATGGATATGAACGGGCGGATTATTGTCACGGGTGGAAATGATGACACTATGACCAGCATTTACGATTCCTTTGCCGACACCTGGCATGGGGCGGCAATGATGAATATCGCACGTGGTTATCAGGCGTCAACCACACTTTCGGATGGAAATATGTTTGTGATCGGGGGTTCCTGGAATGGTCCGCAGCTCAGGAAGAAGAACAGCGAAGTCTATAATGTAGTTGGAGGCACCTGGACCGAACTTACCAACGCCAGCTCAAGCTATATGCTGACCGATGATAACCTCGGCGCTTACCACCAGGACAACCATGGCTGGATATTTGGCTGGAAGAATCTCTCTATCTTTCAAGCAGGTCCAAGTCGTGCAATGCACTGGTACTCTGCCCACGGTCAAGGAAGTGTGACAGACGCAGGGAAACGAAGCACGAATAATGACCAGATGTGTGGCAATGCGGTTATGTTTGATGCAGCCAAGGGAAAGATCCTCACATTTGGAGGGTCTCCTAATTACGAGGATTCCACGGCTACAAACAATGCATCTCTCATTACTATCGGTGATCCTAATACCATGCCAGAGGTTGTCAAAGCTGGTGAAAACATGCACTATAGCCGCACTTTCCATACATCAGTTGTCTTACCTGATGGAAGCGTCTTTATCACTGGTGGCCAGGCACATGGGCTCCCATTCAATGAAGACACTGCACAATTGACACCGGAGCGTTATATTCCAGCAGAGAACAAGTTTATCAAGCACTTTCCTAACAATATCATCCGAGTGTACCATAGCTGGTCTCTCCTGCTTCCAGACGCTACAGTGATCAACGGTGGTGGCGGGCTCTGTGCCAACTGCTCAGCCAACCATTATAACGCACAGATCTTCAAACCTCCATATTTATTCGACCAGAACGGAGGGTTGACTTCGCGCCCGGTAATTCAGAGTGCCACGCCTAATGCTAGATATGGCGCCCAAATTACACTCGTGGTCGATTCGCCCATCTCTGGTGCCTCTTTGATTCGTTATGGCTCCACTACACACACTGTGAACACTGATCAGCGTCGAATAGAGCTAGAGCTCCAACCCGCTGGCGCCAATACGTACACTGCAGTTATTCCGAATGATCCTGGTATTGCGCTTCCTGGCTACTATATGCTGTTTGCTCTGGGTCAAAATGGAGTTCCTAGCGTTTCAAAGAATGTCCAGCTTACGGTGTAGGTAAGAATGGGTTAATATACATTGCAGGAGGTTGACACAGGTTGGTGGACTTGCTAAAGCAACGAGGACACGCGAATCTAAAACACAAAATGTCTTCAGTTTGGAGCGATGGCTATTCCATCTCGTAGTCTCTTCTGAGGGTTCACTTTACCAAAGACGATGTGGTCTATATGCTTAGATGATTCAAGCCCCCTACATCTGAAACCATGTTTGTCTCCTCGGGACTACGAATTCGGAAGTTGTTGGGAGAATAATTGGGCGGAGCTTTGCACCAAAAAGGCTCCTCGTAGTCGCCAGCATTCTGTTCAGGCAGTCCACGACTGGGAAGAGGCCCAGATCAATCAGTAGCACTGGGTGCCGGCGGCACAGTAAGATGCGATATACTATATGCCAGACAAAACTGTTCTCTAAAAGGGCGCAGGTCAAGGTTTGCAGTGGTGCCAGAGTTGAGTCGCAGTGACATAATTTGACCGTATGTAAAAGCAGGTATTACCAACGCGGCCAAAAACTAATACGATCCCTTGCTTTAGAGCCAACTTCATCCCTGCACGATCAAACGTTTCTAATAGTTAGGAATAAAATGAAACCTAAATGTTCATCGCCGATTGGATAGGAACCTGCTTTTCGTAGCATTCCACTGCAAAATGACAATGGAGTTACCTGCAACAGGACGTGCCAATGAGGCTAAATACTAGATTGGAAATAATGTAGATCAACTGAGGGCACCAAAACAATGGACAGACACCTGTCACAGCAAGAAGCAGGTATGCAGATTTAGGTGCCTGACGCCTCCTTGTTTTCAGCTATATGAGAAACTAAGAACTAAATAAAGCTTACTCTCCCCTCAAGCCCAAACACCACCCCCATAAAATCTACCTCTTCGTCACATTAAACACCTCCATATCAAATATTGTTCCACATTACATAGTAGTATCAGACGCCGGCTACCACTTTGATCATTTCCAGGTTCTACATAATGTGGATACTGACCGATCTGTTTCTTGCACTCTCAATATGTTTCTCTTATATCGCAGCCATCGAGCTCAGTCAAACTGGTTACTTATCGCCTCGGGAAACACAAGCTATTGTGTGGAACATTCTCCATTCCGAAAATATTTCATGTTTCTGATCGCTGAGGAAAACATGTCCATTGTGAAGTGCCTGAAAATCAGTTCCCGCGCCAAATTCCGAAAATGGGGCCCTGATAACGTATTTCTCGTAGCGCTGCCCCATGCCTGCCATAATACTAAAGTTAAAGGAATGCCATGACCAAGGTGGAGCAGTACTTACCAGCTGCTCTTATTGGTTCTCATATTATCTATATTTTCTTACTCTTTGTATGTGTCTTTAGGATTTTACTGCCACATGGACTGGCTTAGTCTGAGTATCACAGTACTACCCTGCTCCTCTGTCTGGGATCGGAAGATACAGATTGGTAGGTATCTACCTTGCCTGCTGTTTACACACTCTTAATCATCCAATAAATTCACGCCGATCTATCTCAACGGATTTATGTCGAGCGGGGAGATTGTGCATCTCCGAGACGTAGCATGAGCAAAGAATCCAACTCCATGACCACAAGGAGATAATAATAAGCGTCTGATGTGCCAATTCAAGAGAAAAAGACAGAACATTTACACACCACGAGGACAAATACCCTGACCGCAAAACCCACACAGCACGCCAGGTCAAGATTTTCAAAGTTTAACGAAATATACTGAGACATAGTTGACTAGATTATATAATAGATTATCAATCAGGCTTTTCTCTTCACCCGGAGATTTCCTGCGTCGCACAGTGAACGCCACCCCCAGTCCATGCAATCGATTCATGGAATACTTGAACAACCTTTCGCTCTGGGAAGGCAGCTTGAAGGATCCTTCTCATCGGCTTGAGGATATAAAAGTCGTGGGGCGATGACCGCGCCATGGACAAGGATATAGTTCACATAACTCGAGGCGTATTCTGGGTCGATAGGGTCAGGCCGCTCTATCCCCCCCTCAGGAAGGTCAATGATCTTCAGGTGCCGCCCTTTGGCATCTGTAGCCTGCGACAAGATATGCTTCGTCGTGTCATAGACCTCCGTCAGTAAGGGCCGGCGTGGCCGAGGGCCATTCAAAATAACTTTGCCAGGAGCGGCAAAGCGGGCCCAACTATCAATATGAGCATCAGTCACCTCATAGCCTCTCAGGCTAGGAACCCAGATAGTCTTGGTTACGCCCAAAAGACGCCGAAGCTCTTCCTCAATGGTCTCCCGGCTGATGTAAGGGTTGCAGTTGGGGTTGATGATGGAACTTTCTGTTACCAATAACATTCCGTCCCCGTCAGTTTCCAGCGCACCGCCTTCCGGAACGATAGGCGTTTCGACACGAGTGATCGCAAGATTAGTGAGAATATGACCGGCCAAGCGTGTATTGTTGGCTGAGGGATACCGTTCTCCCCAACCGTTAAAGTTGAAGTCGGCCCCATGGAGACCAGACTGCGACGGACCTTTAGCAAACACAAATGTTGGCGCAACATCCCGCATCCAAAATTCCAAGTTTTCCATCTCAATAGACTTGACTTCCACACCGTGATAGCCGCTGATTTGGAATATTTTTTCTGCCTCAGGGAAGTCCTTGGGATGAACCAGAAACATTACACTCTGGTAATCGCTTATTATCTTGGCAAGTGAAGGAAGTTCCTTTTTCGATCTGCCTATCTCATATTTTGTATAGTTTTGGTTCTCAGGCCCTGACCATGCCATGAGCAACACTCCTTTAGGGCAGTAACACCTTTCATGAGGGAGGAAAAATGTTGGGGGTCGGCCATAGCGATGGCAACTTCCGGGCGGAGTGCAGAGCAGGAAGTGTTGAGAAAGAGAGCAAGGGAATGGAGGGACAATGAGTATATAAAGATTTCACACCTGCGAACTCTGCTAACAAGCCTGGTGAATTTCTTTGCAAATATTTTGGTTTGTTATAAATTATACCATGATGACCTTCATACACTCTCATAAACATCATATTTCGGGATTTTTGCATCATCACATTCTTAATTGATGGTACATATTAGGGCTACATGATGCTTTCGGTTGGGCTGCCAATCTAAGCCGCCAGGTTCAGGCGTTAAAAACTTAGGGCCCAAACCAACCCATAAACCCAGTATGTAGTTAAAATCTGTTTCTCAACCAAGCCTTAGCTAGCCTATGGATTGGGCATTCCATGCCCAGACGCAGCCCAAGGCGGGTTCAGGCTGGGTTGGAACTATTGGATTCATCTATCCTGGATCATCCACATTTCAGCCACAGGCAGACATTGGAAGCCTTAGCACCTACCTCTGACAGGTTATTGATGCTTTCGGCATTGAGAATGTTCACGTAGGTACTAGTAGCGATTGGTGATAAAGGAGACTCACAACGGCCCTGTCAACCACACTCCTCAATGGAAGGGAAAGCCTCTTCTTGCCATTCCCTCATCTGTATCTCTTTCATTCCGGACATTCCCTGCCAACATCCACCACAGCAAAATGGGAAGTTATATAAGCACTAACCAGGCGTGTCCACCCTCTGAAATCAACCGATAAGACCGTCCACCTCCGAGTAAGGATGACCCCCTTGAAACAGACCATTTTACTTTCCCACCTGAATGGTAACCCGTCCATGACCAAATCCCGATGAGAGGAGGATACTGATTTGGCACGCAATGTGATCGCCTCTGACCATTTGCCCTCACGTGTGCGGCAAGTGATTCCCAGGATTCGCACCGAGGGTGGCGGTCTTATTGTCGACGGAGACGGTACACTTATCGTCGCCGAAAGTTGCATGGTCTGTGACCAGCGCAACCCCTGCCAAACCCGGGATGAAAATGAGCAAGAGTTGCATCGACTCTTGGGTATTGAGAAAGTAATCTGGTGTCCTGGACGCAAGAACCTTGATATAACGGATTGCCACCTAGACGCTGAAGTACGATTCGTGTGACCAGGAGTAGTTACTACTGTTGACGGTGTAGGTAAATTATCCAGGGTTGGCGTCAGTTGACAATCAGGAAGCCCGTTCTGAGATATTGAAATTTCACTGTTTTTCTCCATTTCAACATAGAAATGGTGCCGTGCGCAGAGTCCATAGGTCCTATACTAATTATAGGTGACTGCAAGATTACCTAAGTATAGAAGTCTACATCTACTCTAACCGACCCTCATTTGACGTCCGCTTTCGGGAAGAGCTTATCCTATATGAGCTTGGCCTTTAGGAGGCAATGTCGCTCTATGCGGGTGGTGACCCAGTCCAAGCTGCTGCCGCATACTTAGGCAGCTTTTTTGGAAGAGCGAACTGCTAGTCCACGCAATGCCGTCAACACTGACCAGCCGATGGTGGATTTCAGTCAGTATGTGGATGGCGAGAATATAATCCAAGCAGATCTGTGAGTATGATACATGACCCCAAAAAAGACTGATCAGAAATTCAGTAAAGCCTTCTTCCGAATTTATTTTGTGGCGCCTATTGACCAAACATTCTGATCCCAGTGTCTTCTGGATGATCCTTGGGTCCCACCATGTACCACACTCGGGGGACATTCCTAACACATTACAACCTACTAGCGCGAGCTCGATTATGCTTGTGCCCTTTAACTTTCATCATCGAAGCGTCAGCCGGGGAAGCTCACAAGGAGTCCGAATAGATTTTGCCGGCAAGGACGGAGAGGAAGCGCCCCAATCTTTTGGGCATCACTTCGAGGATGGTATAACATTGGAGTCGGCGAGTGATAGACAAGACATATAAAGGTGACAATGAAATTGAGCTGCCAACTGACGATTGCTGCAGAAAGATGTGGCACCAAGCCTTTCTTCGTATGGCACAGAAGAGCGACAAGTCCGCAAATTTCCTTATACCGAAGACATGTTGTCTACGTAATCATTGTGATAAGGCTACTGATCACATACTGGACGTTATATGAGGCGTCACAATGAAGTAGACAGACGACCAAATGAATGAACAGCCCTTGCTTTTGATGATAGTCAGTGTTGAAGAGAGAATTCTTCTTTGGTATATTTACACGTACTGTGGAGTAACTCTCTGGCTGGTCTCCGCACTAAGCCAGTGACAAGCTCGTTAATCTTGACATTGCGGTACACACAAAGTCCCTGCACATGATAAGTGATAACGGACATGTGGATCTCACCAGGCTCCAACGGACGGGCATTAGAAATGTCAACATAACAAATGCCATCAGACTTCAGACTGGCAGTAGTGTATAGACGGGCACCCAATCGCAAAATCAATCTGCACATTCTATGCAAAGTAAAATATTAGATTTCGTAAGAAAAGATAGAGTTGTAGTAGATTTTAGATCATAGATAATAGTAATTAGGATCGTAGTGGTAAGATATAATCTCTGCGCTAATTTTCATCCTAAGCTTAGGGGGCACCCTTACTCCCATATATAAGACTTTTTAAGCTTATATAATACGCAATGTAAATTTCATATAATAAGGTATTATATTATGAAATATAATATATCGATATCCTAGTAATGTGGCTAGAATACTAGAAAAATAGGTAGTAATCTGAACAGAGGCTACTTTTAGGGCTATGAAAGTACTGTTGTGAACTTGTGGTCCTGTGGACGGTAGCACAAACAGTGCAGACATGCTTACTCATCGCGACTGCCTCTGTCTAATGTTATTATGACCTATGACCTATGACCCTCCTTCTCTTCTGCATTCTGTATCTAGCAATCCATTATTGAAGCATCGAGAATATGAGCAATTCATCAAGTTGCATCAAGCGAAATAGCAGTACGCAGCCAACGCCAATAGTGAGCCTACTTAATCACGTGAAAGCTGTAGATGTATCCGATAATCCGACAGTTGCTGAGTACGCTCGGTTGGGCTGTGTACACAGTACGGAGCATTCCGCAACTCAGCGATTAGCTGACTAAGCCAGTTGCGGTGACATGACCGGCATGACATCTATTATCTACGGGTTTAAGCCGCCTGGATAGGAGGGTGGGTTGAATAGGTCATGGATCTATCTATAATTCGCATGGGTTGGATCAAAAATACCATGGATCAACTCATATCCTATTCACGACCAGAGTAAGTACATACGTTTGCCCCGAATGTTATATGTTGCCTTTACTTAATTAGTTTGGCCTTGTACCTATCATGCCGATTGCCCTCAATTGAGAACCCTGGCAGAGCTTGAGTGGGTTCCAACATTGTTCGTCTTTCTGCAAGAAAGTGACCATGAGGACCATGGCAGCTGCATTTGCAGATCAGCTACCTTGTTGGATGTTTGCAGAGGTAAAGTCATTCCGATCGTCGCGAGACTTTTCCTGCAGGCTCGAAAGGTCCCCACGCGCGGCAGGGATTTGGAAGCTTGTGCTCCTATAGATTGTCGACAGAAAGAATAAAACCCGGTCGGACCCTCGCTTGCTTTTGTGACCGGTAGACTCAAAGCGAAACATGGCAGTCAAGGCAGTTGCGAGTGCGGCATTGCTGTTGGCCCCAGTAAACTGCGCGCTTACCAGGCCTCAGGGTACGAACATCGTTCGAGTTTCAACGTCCGATGTTGTTCAGCCTGGTGGGCTGGCTAATGTCTACCTCGATTGGCGAGAAGCTTACCCTGGTATCATCGAGGCTGTTTACGCGTCCTGTCTGAGGCCTGATATGTCTTCGAAACAGATCATTTGTCGCTTTACTGGCGAAGGCCATCCCCCTCAGCGACTCGCCTGGGCAGTCTCTGACGATACCCCAACGGACAACTGCATCTACGTCCATGGCATCCAGTCAGATAGGTCAGAACCAAGACTCCTGGGGAAGAGTGAGCCCGTCCGACTGGGTCGAATGGCGAAGAGAAGATCTGTCGCAAACATTCCCCGCCTCAAAGACTTCGACGCACTCGGGGCCTGGTTCGACGGAGTTGCCTCCATCAAACAGAAGACTGAAACGCACGGTGGCGTCGCTTCCGGCCACTCGTCCAAGGACAGCAAGATCGCCATCGTGGGCGCTGGTATCTCCGGCCTTGCCACAGGCCTAATGCTCGACAGCGTTGGCGTCCACAACTGGGAAATCATCGAAGCCAGCGATCGCGTCGGAGGGCGGTTCCGAACGCGGTATGTTGCTGGGACGCAAGAGTGGGCGGAGATGGGGCCGATGCGGTTGCCCTATTCTGTCACGTACAAGGACAGTAATGAGACTCTGCGGTATACGGATCACGAGATGACGTTCCAGCTCGCGGGTATCCTAAACGAGATGAATAGCAATGACCCTCAGTGGAAGATCGACTTTATTCCGTGGATCCAGCATCACCCGAATGAGCTTATTGCGCAGGGGACTCGTCGACATCCTGATGGTCGCATTCCCACTCGTGCTGAGATCGAGGCGGATCCAAGCCTAAAGGAAGCGCCTGATATGTCCAGTGCTGAGTACCCCAGCACGAAGAACAGAATGGACCGTATTCTGAAGAACGAGAGCACCCTCAAATCACTCCAACGAGACGTCTGGCGCGCGCACAAACTCGTCATGGAGGAAGGGTTAGACGAATGGAGCGAGCAAGCCATGATGCGCCACGTCTTCAAAGCCAGCCTGAACGTCACCGACGAGATCTGGACAAGCTCTGACTACGACATCTTCTGGGACGAGCTCCACCACAACTCCAACCTCGGTCTTGACGGCAGCAGCAGCGCCCTCGGCGAAACAACCTGGCTCTGCATCGACGGCGGCTTCAATCGCCTCTCTGATGCCTTTCTCCCCCACCTTGGCAATCGCCTTACTCTCAACCGCAAGATCCGAAAATTAGAACCCGTCCCCGGCCCCAACGGGACAACCCGCACCCGCCTCTCCTGGTATCCCAATATCACCAACCGCACCTACGAGTTTGAAGACTACGATTACACCATCATGGCGGTCCCGTTCACAATGACGCGCTTCATGGACCTTCCTAGCTTCTCCTCCGTCCTCTCCCGCGCAATCAGCGAAGCCGGCCTCCGCTTCAAATCTGCCTGCAAAGTCGCTCTCCTCTTCCGGGAACGCTTCTGGGAAAGGGGGCCCCGACCTATCTTTGGAGGGTACTCGAAACCACCTAGCAAGCCCGTCGGAGCCCTGTACTACCCGGTGTATGGCCACAACGAGTCGCGCCCGGGGCTCATAATGCACTACCGCGGCGGCGACTGGAGTGACCGGTTCGTGAGCTTTTCAGACGAAGAACACGTGCAGACTGTCCTCGACTCAATCGTCTCAATCCATGGCGAGCAAGCGCGTGAGCTCTACACAGGCGACTATGAGCGGCTGTGCTGGTTGCAAGACGAGCACACGGCGACGGCGTGGTGTCGCCCAGACGTCGAGCAGCATAAGCTGTATATCCCGGCATATCATGTCACCGAGCACAATACGATCTTTATTGGCGAGCATACGGCACCGACGCATGCTTGGGTGAGCTCGTCGTTGCAGTCGGCTGCTAGGGGGACTGTGCAGTTGTTGTTGGAGTTGGGGCTTGTGGATGAGGCGAAGAAGGTTAATGAGAAGTGGATGGGGAGGTGGATTCGTGTGTAGATGGCCTTCTGGTTGTACGTACACTATGGATCGATATGGTAGAGTTACCAGGAAATATATAGCGAAGTTGGCCTCTGATGTCGATAACGGCTAAATCCCGTTTTTGCAAATTTCTCTACGGCCTGCTATTTCTTCAGACCAACCCCACGACGCCGATAACGGCAGTGCTCAACTCCGACTTGGAGAGTCGTGATATGGCGTGTGGAGCGCCACGGGGAGCTGGATGGCGTTCCCTTCCACAACGTCCTCTTACTAAATTGCCACTTCATAGATGATTGTTATCTAGCGGCATGCTGTTCAGCAAGATCTTCGATTATCACCAAGAGAAGATTGATAAGATCTTAATCTCCATAGAATTTAACACCTTAATGAGCTCCTTAACTACTACATAATAGTATCAAAAATTCCCCTTCGTCACCTTAAAAAGAGATTCCTTATTTCTAACCCATATCTACCCAACCCCCTAACCATCCTTTAATGTCCAATGGAAAGTACTCCGTAATGGAAAGTATAGTTGCTGAGGTTGTCCATCTTACTAGATTTAGACATTAGCTTAAAAGCTCAACAATGTCTCAAGATGTCCTAGATAACGTGAGACCTTGGGGACATATCCAAGACCTTGGCGCGCTGTAACCCACTTATTTAGACGCAGCCCCTCCATAAGAGGTTTCAAAAGATACCAAATCTAGGCAAAAAGCAGATGCTCTTTGATATGAGAATGCTCCGCCTCGCGTCCTTGATGGTGATAGCTACCTTGCTACCCTTGTCCCTAGCTATCTATACAGATAATGGCAGACTAGCTATTATAGATGGCATCAATTACTACGTCGACGGGCTTCCTGTATCGAGGCCTTCTACGCTACTGCCGCTGAATTCAACATGGACCAACGCGAACTGCGAGCTTAACCCGCTGACTGTCGTTCGGTCGAGGAAGGTGAATTTCACCTGGCAGGACATGCATGAGACCGTCTCAAGGTTCACCACGGAAGATGAATGTCTTTCAATTCGGATGCTTAGAAGGTAATCGTCTCACTCGCCTTGACTGAACTAGTTTGTTCTCATGACGATATAGCTATTTATCTATACCACACTGCAGACAACCAAGGATATGTCGAAAACTAAATAAACCTGTCTGCCTATGGTAATATTAACCAGATTATCTTCGCATCGCCAGGGTATCATTCTCGAGGTCCTATAGCCGAGGCAAGCTTGGACGGTGATGTTCCCGAGGGCCCATACTTTCTTGCAGTGGGGACAGGGGTTCTCTACTAGGCTTTTCGGCTATACTCTGACTACTAGCTCGCGTTTACAGAGGCCACTGTTAGTGACGGTGATGGTGGGTTTAGGCCCTTACCTGCTGTAACAGAGGTATTCAACTCCACTGCTAGGAACGCTTGAAAATTGACCAAGACAACCAAACAGGGAGCTATGACAAAGGCAGTAGCCGTACCATTGTCTAAATTGGGCGATAAACTGGCAGCCCCACCTGGACATGGTCAGTCGTATTAAGGATAGATGTCCCATCTGAGCATATTTGATCGCAATTGAGTTTTTTAAATTCGAAGCTAAGTGCCAACAGAGGCAATTGTAAGTGATGCCAGCCGGTGACATCATCATCGGGATCAAAAGTAGACTAAAGTTTAAGCATAATCATAGCAAACAGCGAGGATAATATGATTACTCGGCATTAGATATGTAGCAAGGAGGGACTAGACTAAAATAGAACACCGACATCATCCGATTCCAGTTCCTGTCGATCATTCTGGTTATGGTAACATGTCCTGCTCACCATGTATGGAGTCTTGGCGTGGCTGCCGGAAACAGGGAAAGTACGGAGTAATCATGACGCAATGGATATGGACATTCCCTGCCCCATAAGATATGATAATGTCACTCACTCTACGACATCGTCATTGCATCCAACTTATAAATACCATTGACGGCTTCAGATCTTGCCAATTTCTTAATTAAGTTTACGTACTCCTCCTACTTCGCAATTAAACTCATCTCCCACATAAACTCTCTCAATACAACATGTTGACCCGAGGTTCCCGATTCGCAACAGGCTGCGCCAGACAGCAGCTCTGGGGCCAAACAAGGTCATCCCTTCGCAATCAACGTGCTCGCTACGCTACCTCAACTCAGTCCGCCGGGAATGGCACCAACGCTGCCTTGGTTGGTGGCCTGGCTGGTGGAGCGGTGACCTTCCTCGCAGGCTACACCTGGTACCACTTCTCCGGGGCCAAGAAGCTGGTTCAGACCGCAAACCGAACACAAAAGTACTACAACGAAGCAAAGAAGACCGTTGCTCAGAAGACTCCGGATCCCGATGAGGCCTTTGGCTGGCTGAGAGACACTGCGAAAAACTACGCATCATGGATCCCCGGCGCCAAGCCCTACGTCGACCAGGCATTTGACGACCTCGAGGAGATCAAGCGCAAGCACGGCAAGGAATTCAATGAGATTGTCAGTGATGCGTACAAAGACTTGCGTGAGGCCACAAAGAAAGGCGGTCTGGATGTGAACACTGCTGTTAAGATCCGGGACATTCTACAAAAGCACTTCAAGCGTCTGTATGAACTCGCCGGCGAGTCTGCAGGCGACATCCTTGACAACCATCCTGAGATAAAGGAAAAGGTCGGTGGCAGCTTGGATCAGCTCAAGGAGATGGGCAATGCCTATGGCCCCCAGGCGAAAGAGGAGGTGGACAGAACATGGCAGCAAGTGAAGGACATCGTCTCGAGCGGTGTTAATGCGGAGACCGTCCAGAAAATTCAGAAGCTGGCCCAGGAGAAGAGGGAGAAGCTGCAGAAGTTGGGTGATGAGGCATGGCAGCGAGGCATGGAAGAGGTTAAGCCATACCTTGATCGGAACCCCAAGGTCAAGGAACTTGTTGAGAAAAACAGCGATGCCTTGAGAAAGGGCAACTTTGGAGAACTCTGGAGCCTGATCAGGGAAAGCTCATCTTCAGGCAACCTAGGAAACCTAGAGGGATATATCAACAAGACCGTCGATCAAGCCAAGAAGAGTGGTTTCAACATTGACAGTCTGGCCGACAAGTTCCCAGGTGGTTCAAACATTCTCTCCCAGCTGCAGTCACTCCAGAATGTTGCTGAAAAGAAGGGTCCCGAGGCGGAGAAGATCCTCAAGGATACCCTCAATGACATCCAGGGTGTCTTATCGGAGAGAACCAAGCAGGCCGAGAGCCTTGCTGAAGAGGCCAAGAAAGAGAGCAAGTGATTGGAGTGATACGGACTACTTCCTCAATCTTTTCTTGTACATATATGCATGAGTCTGCTTTCTCACCTTTTTTCATCTCCAAGGGATTCGGAGATCTGTATTTTAGCAATGAGTATTAGACGGAATTGACGACCGACATCAGGATAACTATACTCTTGTCTTAGTAAACTTAAATTACAGCAAACACTGTAGAGAGCATTATATGACCTTGAAATGTTCATCTTACCTCTCTACGTTGGAGTACCTTGATCTAACAGGTACAGAAAATCTGTGACTGCCATATGACATCATACTGGGAACTTTGCCTTTAGCCAATCAGAGGCGCAAATCTCTTGCCGGCTCCGCAGTCACCGCAGGGAATTACCGATGCCGGACATGATTGGCCATCTCCTTTCGGTTCGTCAGCGGCCCGTCCGATCCAAGAACCAAGGCCAATCACGCGCCCCAGGGTCGAAGCCGCCGAACCGAGGAGGGAATGTTGTTGTGCGGGGAAGCAGGGTGCACCGCCTCCTGGCACCTGATGGCGCTTGTGCAGCAGCGTACACCGATTAATGAGACTGCGCAACCTTCTGCGTATCCCTTGGCGGGGTCGATACCCGATTTATGTAACAGTGATTGTTCTACCCTCAAATGGTTCCAGACCCAAGCAATATCCCTCTGGGGTTTCTGGGAAATCTGTCGAGGGAACAGGAGCGATGCTTGCAGCAGCTGTGGTCCTTGGTTCTCTACCTTGAAGATGCCGCCTCTTTCAAAGAGCTCGAGCAGCTCTTCCGGGTCAACAGTGCCGAACGGAATAAGACAACTTCAATATCGTCATTTGCGCGCCGAAACTCGCTGCTCGCTCGGACGGATTCCATCCTGTTGCGGAGGAGCAGCACAGCGTCCTTCCCGGCACCTTCCAACCCGCTAGCCCAGAGTCTTCGCAGTATCGGAATGACCGCGTCTGAGACCCGCTCTGTCGCAAAGTCCTTGACCTATCTGAGCCCAGACGATGTCCGGTGGGGCATACTTACGGCGAGCAAACATGAATATCCGGATCGATGGATGCTCCGATACCTGCGTTTTTGCAAGTGGAATGTCAGCAAGGCTTTTATTCTGATTTTGAACGCTTTGCAGTGGCGAATAAAGGATATGCATGTGGATGACCGTCTGTTGCCAGAGGGTGAGCTTTGTGCGATTCACCAGTCACAGGCACCTTCGAATACTGCCGAAGCGCAACTATCCCGTGGCTTTCTCAGTCAGCTGCGGATGGGGAAATGCTATGTCCATGGGGTCGATCGACTAAGCCGGCCTTTGTGTGTGATACGTGTGCGATTGCATCGACCCGAGGATCAGTCGGAAGAGGTGATGAACCGATACATCACCCATATTATGGAGTCGGTCCGGCTTCTCATTGCGCCTCCCGTGGAGACAGCAGTATGTAGAACTCACATAGTTGGATTCATGTACTGACATACCCCTGTAGACTGTCATTTTTGACATGACTGGCTTTTCTCTTGCAAATATGGTGGGTTTGCCGTCATGTCGCCGAGACTAGCTACTGATGATCCATATACAGGACTACGCCCTTGTAAAGTTTATCATCAGATGTTTTGAATTATATTATCCCGAGTCGTTGGGTGTGTTGCTCATCCACAATGCTCCCCGTATTTTTGCAGGTGCTTGGCCCATTCCTGTCTTTTACTGCTCACCATTAACTGAGCCTGCACAGGAATATGGAAGATTATCAAAGGCTGGATTGACCCAGACATGGTGACAAAAATCCACTTCACCAAGTCGGTGGAAGATCTCGCACAGTTCATCCATTCCAGTCAGATTGTGAGCGAACTCGGAGGTGGTGAGGACTGGGAGTATGACTATACCGAGCCTGAAATGGACGAGAACGACTTAATGGAGGATGACGAAGCGCGGGACGCGTTACTGGCCGAGCGACAACGTATCAGCGAGGCATTCCTTTCCCTTACATCCCAGTGGATCGAGGCGACGAGACACGACTGCCCTGAAGAGGTTGCAATGTTCCAGTCGCGCCGTTTGAAAATGATGGAGCAACTTCGCGTTAATTACTGGAAATTGGATCCTTTTGTCCGAGCCCGCAACTTCCTTGATCGAACAGGCGTCATCCAGGAAGGAGGGAGGATCAAGCACTATCCAGAGACTAAACCTGAGGTCCAGATCGAGACGGCCAAGGTGCTGGAGGTGGCCCATGTTGATCGGGCGCGGGTGAAGCTCATTAATGTCTAATATTTTACCGGCCGTTGCTCGGTGTCTGATCAGGTCCATTGATGGTATGGGGTGATCGCTTGATGGATGATGGCATGACGATGATACCCTGGACAACACTGACTTTGTTTTTCTTACAAGTAATCGAGGCAGACTATCTTTGATTTAGAAGTATTAGCTTAGTGCTATCCAATTGCTGTAGATGCAACTAGTAATTCTGAGAGTAAGCTTCGGTCAGTTGACGCTCAGCATGTGTCTTGGCCCGCTCCCGGTCAATGAAATCAAGACCCCTGATCTCAACTTCACGGTCAATGATAGAGCCAGCCAATGCAGCAAGAACCTCCTTGGCCTTCTCATGGCTCTCAGGCGGACCTATATCCATATCAGTATACCTGTGCCAGCCTAATCCATCTTTCCTGTTGTCACAACGATGGAGCGGCAGGACAGGACAAACCATGTTCAGCGGCCTGCCCCTCATAGACCTTAGCAGCCTCGTAGGAGGCGGCAGCCGCAATCAGCTCATGGCTTATTTTACCCTTGTGTTCGTTGCTGTCAGCATATAAATGGTATTCCTTGTACGACTGAGCCTGGTCACTGTCGTCGCCTAGGAGAATATACAAGGTCAGGTCAGTCAAGAGCGATAACAGCATAGAATCCAGATAGAATGGGAGCACTACCAAACCAGCTCATGATGTGAAACTTAAAAGGGATTAGATATGAAGAAATGAAAATACCGGTTCAGAAGTTTGTGGTGAAGGAGATATCGAACAAAAGGGGGAGGGCTAGATAATGGTTTATATTGGCCAATCTGTCAGGTTCTGACAGGGCAGAACAGGGCAGCCCCTCGTATGGCGATAATTGTGTCATGTTGTCTAATTATTCTGTTACTATCGAGACTTAGCAGATGGAGTAAGCTTTCTAGGCGGGGCTCTCCACTAAAAGTTGCGCAATACAATCATGGCGACTTATGGGAAATGGTGATAATTGGTCCCAGCATTGGGCTGAGCAGATCGGCCTTATTTTGAGCAGATGAAGAAGCTGCAGTACAGGGCTACAACCAATGGAGCGGTTCTGGCCACGTCACAATGATATATCCTGCCAGGTACTGAGTTGTTCTCATCACTGTGTTTGCCTGGTAGTTTACATTCCCCATGCTCTGTATTCAATGATCACTGCATGTACTAATGCAGCTATATAAATCACAAGAGGAAGGATGTGTGTTTCTATAAATCCATTGATTGTTGGAGCTAACTCTATGAAAGTCAGAGCAGAGAGGCCCAACCACTCTAATTATCCAAGCCTGGACATTGCTCGCTGGTCTCCGCCGTGATCGCGGAGTAGGGATAGGGATCGGTCCAAATCAAGTCGAACCTATGATTGTTCAGCCACAACACTATTAATTTCGTATTCAAGGAAAACTGACCGGTCGTCAGGATACGACGGGGCATCATCATCACCCAACTTGTCGACGATGTCCGTCAAGGCGTCGTGTTCCCAGCAAATCAGAATATTGCCCGACCCGGTGTAACCCTCAACCGCGTCTCTGACACACTTGGGATCATCACGATCACAGGATGTGTCGACAGTTAGTCCCAGGTCTTCTGCGAGAGGCTCCACTGTCTCGTACGGACGAGCGCGTTTGCCATCTGGATTGATAGATTAGTCAAAGGTCTTTCCAGAAAAATGCAGCCAACGTACCACTCTTGGGGGTTTGAGCCATGATATATCCAATGTTGTAGCTTGAAGCACTGCCGAGAATATTGCGAAGGCATTGTGCGCGCTCAAGTCCCTGAGCGCTTAATCCGTTACCTCCATCGCTGGGCTTCTCACCATGACGGATGAGGTAGACGGTAGGCTTGGCTACTGAGACAGCGACGCTGATGAGGCCTAAGGCCAGAATGGTTTTGGCATGCATGGCGAATAAGTTGAATGACAGGAGCGAGAGACGAGTTTTGGGTCCGACCGGTCCGCATTTATACCTGCTCGGAGTTTCCAGGTTACAGATGCGATGTAACCTCGTTGTATCCATTCTACTCAAATCCGCGTCGACAGCCCAGCGATGGCTGGCCGTGGTGGATTGGTCTACTAAATGAGGCATTGGGGGCTGTGATAATGTGATTGGTTCGTCATGCTACACGTGCTGGAATGGCTTGATGATCGGCTTTCTCATGTCTCGGGTCTTATGCATCGTTCGCTCGTAAACCGTTCCCGCACGTCGATCCATCGCCAAGACGGTTAGAAGATGATGCGTGGCTACTAATGCTTATGCATATTCCCGTTCCGTGGTGACCATCCTACCAGTGGAAGAGAGAACGGGATGTCGGTCGAGTCCGTGTCCAATACTCGCTTACAGTCTACTTTCTGCTCGACAAATTGGCAATGTGAATTCAATCAAACGAAAAGAGGAGTTCCATGCAATAACCACACAGCAAATCCCAAGGTGAATATCAGCAGGATTTCCAATCATTCTTCCTACGAGAGACACTGGGAGTAATAAGAATTCAACACCTTGCACGTGGCGCCTGAAGCACAGGCAGTAGGCCCAGTCCAGCCACTGCCACCACACTGTCCATAAAGGGTCTGGGTTGCTCCACCAGTGCTGGTCGTGGTGGTTGTCTTGGTGGTAGTTGACGACGTCGGAGGAGCAGGGTTGCTGCCTCCTGGCGTCATGCCCCTTGGAGTCTCATCAATCGCTGTCTTGCCGTAACAGAGACAGGTCTCCCAGTCGGAGGTGGCCTGGCCAGGACAGGCAACCGGCTCAAAGTTGACTACCACATTGTCGCCAAAGACTTCACTCTGGGCCAGGATATCAAAGTGGTAGCTGTATCCATAGTTGTTTGTGGCGCCAACCTGAGGACACCATTGCTGGTTGCCATTATAGGGGCAGAGATTGGTGACCATGACGATGATACTCTGCCCGGCGGCCCCTCCGGTGCCACAGCCGCTGCAGGGGGGATTGCCCGTTGATGTCAAGTTATAGCACTTGCCGCATCCTGCACCACACCATGAGGCGCCAGCAGTATCGAAGAGGGCCTGCGATCCGGCGGCCGTGTAGACACCGTTACCGATGCCGAGCTACAGATTAAATGTCAGAGCAATTTCTCAAACAGATCGGTGTTGCCCTTTACCTGCCAAGGAAATGCGCCAGATGATGTTCCACAGCCACAAGCTCCTTCTTGCCCGTCATAGTATCGCTGTCTCTCTGGTTAGTCATGGACTGGAATAGGATGAAGCAAACCATACTGTAGTTGTGGCCAGGTAAGCTGAAGCCGAGGCGACAAGCCCTAGGCATGCGAGTACTCTCTCTACCTTCATGGTTGAATCCAAGTAATAAGATATCGCTTTGAGAAGGGGCACACGGCAACAGGCCGAAATTTATGTTTCCAGGTCAGTCTCAGGGCACAAATCCTGACAGCATATTTGAAGTCCAATGTTCGGCCCGCCGATCCGGCACTGCAGTTTGCAGAAGGCTAGTGCGCAAGTAACCAGGAGAATCAGTGCACCTTGCTCGCAAGTCTTTAGCCTTAATTGAAAAATAACCCAGCTCCGCAGGTGCAAATATCGAATCATATTTGCGTGTTTCCATTGACTGCGAGTAAGAAGCTTTGGTGGCTTCGTGCCTGTGTTTCAGCGATATAAACCCTCCGCACTTGAATAACCGTCGCGGCGGGGTCAGCCTGACAGGCATCACGGGTCCAGAATTGTGGATTTTTGGGAAGGGAGTCTACTACTAAGCAAGACCCCTTATTAACAATGTGTAACAACAGCGAGAGGGCCGTCAGCTGTTTTGCCACTTTCTGCAGAATCTTTTAGTAGCCCATGGAAAGAAGCCGGGCTAGGCCGCAGACTCCTCAGAGCTGGTGACCCCTCGAGGAAACGCGATACACCTGATTCGAGTTGAGCTTTGAGCTACTTGCAGAAAGTATCACAATCTGAAAGATGTCTAGTTGGTTCTGTACGTCAAGGACATAGTTCTCCTTTGTTTACCGAATTCCGAACGCGATAACAGTCGCTTGGCCTAACTCTTAGAGATGCTAATGTCACACTGATCATACTACTTTATCCACCTGGACCATTAAACAAGTCAAGTTCCAAGCCTATGGACGTTGTGCCTTGCATGGAGTCAATTAGAACAGATCCACGTATTAGATGCCAGGAAATAGTCGTGTTCCTTACGAAAGGAGATAAAGTGGTTGTCAGTCACCATGACATACTCCCATCCATACGTCAGTACCTTTCATGACTCTGCAGGATAAGCATGCAATGGGTCAATTGTTATTGTCGATCAGTGTCTTAGAAAATCAATTCTGGAGATCCGTCTTGCATCTTTGATCTATAAGGTTTTGCCGATTACATCTGCGCAAAAAAAGATTTACTGCATACATATTGCATGAGCATGTTCGAAAACGTTGTCACCCCTCGACTGCATGTCAAACAAAGCTGGGTCCAACCCATCGCGAATTTGCCTGTTACAAACAACATTCTCGATATTCGGTCCGACAAGGAAGATGTCCAGCTTAAGGAATCCCTGGAACGAAGCATCCGTGCTGCTTGCCATGAGGATGGAGAGGCTGTGCTGCCCGATCTCCTGCTCTGGGACGAGAAGGGACTACGGTACTTTGAAGAGGTCACTTACACTCCGTCATACTACTTGACCAACGAGGAAATTGGGCTACTGGAGAGACACAAGTATCAGATCGCAGAGCATATCCCATCTGGGAGTATGCTAGTCGAACTAGGCAGTGGGTCAGCATGATACTGTTCAAATGTCTTAGACGATGTGTGCTAACGCCATCTCCAGTAACCTTCGCAAGATCCGAATCTTACTCGAAGCCCTTGACGAACTAGGTCGCGAGGTGGATTACTTCGCTCTGGACCTCTCCTACCCCGAACTCCGACGGACACTCAGTCTGGTGCCCCCGGGAGGATTCCGGCATGGACGATGTTTTGGTCTCCTTGGAACCTACGATGATGGGCGCGAATGGCTGAGACGACCTGAAAACAAGTCGCGCCCAAAGATTGTGCTGTCGCTTGGATCTACCCTCGGAAGCTTGCCGCGAGCGAAGACACCGGCCTTTCTGTCCAGCTTTTGTTTGGGATACGCAGAGAACAAGCCATCCTTCCTGGTCGGATTAGACGGCTGTAAACAGGAAGCACGAGTCTTGTCTGCGTACAATGACCCAGGTGGTATCAATCGCAGATTTATCAAGAATGGGTTGGTGCGAGCTAATGAGCTCATGGGCCACGATCCCTTCGATCTCGACCAGTGGGATGTCAAGGGGTTCTGGGATGCAGAGAATGGCAGTCATAACCAATATTACTTCCCTCGCAGCAATGTAAATCTTGCCGGGAACATGATCCCGTCGGGGAGGAAGTTACTCGCGGTGAAGAGCCATAAGTACGATGCGGAGGATCGAGATACGTTGTGCCGGAAGGCGGGACTGCAGGTGGAGGATTGTTGGGCCTCAGACACGGATTACAGTAAGTGTTGCAATTGGGTTGGATTCCTTGATTTTGGTACCTGACTTCCTGATTTCTCGCAGATCTGCTGTTCCTGAAGCCGACTCATTCTTCGCTCGGTGAATTGTTGTTTCATGGTGACGTCAGTTGAGCGAGGTTTTATAGTTAATAAGAACCAAAGAACTCCCAAGTCAAAATAAACTAGGATTAATAATAATTCAAAATATGTTTCTGCATAATTGCACAGCCTAATTTCTGTACACATTGTTTGTAAATGCCTTCACATACTACGGATCTGTTAATTATCGGCGCTGGCCCGGCAGGTTTGATGGCCGCCTGCTGGGCCTCGCATTACAACATGTTCACGCGCATCATCGATCAGAAGAGTGGCCGAACAACCACCGGTCATGCAGATGGAATACATAGTCGCACATTAGAAATCTTGAATAGCTTTGGCCTCGTTGATCCCATCATTCGACAGGGTGTCCCTGACGTGGAAATGTGCTATTGGGTATGAGAGCACCCGAGGGGAAATTCTTGTGGGCGAAGACTGACGCCTTACAGGGTCCGAATAAGGACAATGGGGAAATTGAACGACGAAAACGGCTGAGCTCACAATCGGACAGTCTTTCCCAGTATGGCCAGATGCTGTTCAACCAGGGAGGACTCGAGCAAATACTACTTCATTATCTCTCGAAGATGGGCCGCATAGCCGTGGAGTGGAACACTCGGGCAGAAACTTTGACCGTCAGTCCTGGAAACGAAGAAGGCGATGACGACTTTCCGGTGGCAGTGGGAGTCACAAAAACTGCCAACGGGAATGATACGGCCGAACAGACAGAGACAATACACGCTCGCTATGTGATTGCCTGTGATGGCGCCCAAAGTTGCACCAGGACTCAGCTCGAGGTTCCTATGGAAAGCCATTCGGAGCATTCTACCTGGGGCGTCATAGACATTGTGCCCATCACCGATTTCCGTAAGCGTTTCCATCTACAACGAAAGTGTTTGCCTATTGACAACTGTAGCCGACATTCGCCAGTCCTGCGCCATCCAGTGCCCCGGTCACGGCAGCATCATGACAGCGCCGCGGGAAAATCGCCTGGTCCGATTCTACATCCAGATCAAGGGCGATAAAGAGCTCGAGAGAATGGCACAGAACCACTCAGATGATACGCCCAGAGCCCTCATTAACGCTGCAGAAAGGTGGATCAGTCCGTACAAGTTATCCTACAAGCATTGCGATTGGTGGTCGATATACCCGGTATGTCACGCGTTACCCATCACGACGATAGACACTGACAGTCGAAGGTTGGACAACGACTAGTCAAGGAATACAGGATCAAGGACAGGTAAGGAATCCTCAGCCACTGTTAATCAGCCTGCTCATAGATGTAGAATTTTCCTTGCGGGTGATGCCGCTCACACCCACTCTCCCAAAGCGGGTCAAGGCATGAATGTGTCGATGCAAGATACCTACAATCTTGTCTGGAAGCTCGGATCAGTCATCACTGGAGTGGCAGACCCCATCATCCTCGATACATACGAGTCCGAACGACGACCAGTCGCTGAAGAACTGATGAAGATGGACTCCGTCCTGGTGCATGCATATGAGCAGGAGGCCAAGGACGCGGAGGGAGTCGATCAGGTTCGAGATGAGTATTCTGGCTTTATGTCTGGCGTGAAAATCACATATGCTCCAAACATGCTCGTTGCCGGCAACGAGAAGAGCGGAGACAGAGCGCTGGCGAAGAATATCGCAGTCGGTATGCGTATACCGTCTTTCCCTGTGGTCAACCAAGCCGACGGATCGACCATCCCCCTATTAAATGTCCTGCCGAGCAACGGCTGCTGGAGGCTGATTGTGTTCTCTGGCGAACTGCGACGGCCAAGGGTGTGGGAACGGCTCACTTCGTTTGCTGAGAGCTTCAGTCAACGCTCCCACTTGGCACATCGACACCAGACTCAGAATTCACGAAGGCGCGGTCCTCCACTTGAAACCCTCCTGGTGCATGCAAGTCCCCGGACGAGCATCAACCTCATGGATCTCCCAGATATCTTTCATCCATTCGATGACGAGTTGGGGTGGGACTACTGGAAGACGTTTGCCGACGATGATGCATCTGATCCAAACTCGGGCAAAGCGTACGCGGGCTACGGCATTGACAAGGACCAAGGTTGCCTGGTCCTTTGTCGGCCAGATCAACATGTGGCGTGGATAGGAAAACTAGACGAGATGGCAGGCTTAGACAACTACTTCTCGGAGTTCTCACGGTAGTAGACTATAGAACATGAATGGCAATTGATATTAAAAGCTACCACTCGTAATCATACACACAGCTAGGGTCCATGAAGAATGCTAATATACAGGCATGGGAACTGCATCCAAGTTATAGTGCCAGCTGTCGATAGAAGCCTGGTCATAGACACAGTTCATGGTTTTCCCGTTGTTCTTCCAAAGAGGGCGCAGAGGCCACGCACAGAGCTCCTGATTCTCACCTTCATACTCACCCTGGAGCACTGTCGCGTTCAGAGTCGCCGGTGTCACTCCCTTTTCGACCCATTCAATCATGGTAGCGAGGTTGGTCTGGGGCCACGGACCATTGGGCATGGCATCGTTGGTCGAGCAGTGGCCAGCACCTGGCACGGTGAACAAGCGGTACCATTCATTCAGCGCATTTGCACCAGCCTTATAGGATAGGTTGCCATACATGGTCCTTCGGACCGACTCCCAGTAGCGGACCGACGAGGCAGTGGGGATGCTGAAGTCAGCGTCGCCATGGTAGTGGATGACTTTGCCGCCAGCCCGGTGGAATGGTGTTAGATCAGGCCAGGTAGTTTGCAGGGTGCTATAGTACTCCTGCATGCTCGAGATCATCCAGTCTTTCAACGTGTCGTAGGTGACCCCATCCAGGCTCTCCAGAGTGGTACCGTTCTTGTTCACCAGCAGTGCAATGTGTTCGCCCCCGAGTTGGTTGATGGACAGCTCCCATTTGCCAGTGGTGGTGTTGTACTGTGTCTGTGCATCATCAAAGGCGGCGCTGGGCTGGTAGGAGAAATACACACGACGACCCTGAGAGTCATGCAGTCCGTTGATGATAGTTTTGGCGACCTCGACTGCCTTGGCCGAGACAGTGCCACTCTGCGCCGGTATAGTGGCAGAAGCGGCGCAGGAGTATTTCTTGCCGATGATAGCTTTTGGGTCAAAGTGCAGCAGACAGAGATCGGTTCTGGCTACTACGCCATCGGACCTGCCGTCCAAGGGATCACATGCGACGATAGTCTCATTGACAATCTTCTCCAGCTCGCAGGGTGGGGGGTAGTAGTCAAGTGTCTTTTCAACAATATTCGAGAAGAGATGCTGAGTCTGCTGGAACGACCAGCGAAACGCTGGAGCCCCAATAATGGCCCCATCCCATTCATCTCCGTAGCGCTGCACTTGACTCCAACCCTCGCGGCCACCCTCGGAGCATCCATGGTAGTAGGCGTACAGCTTCTCGCTATCGGCCATGCCGTAGACGTTCCGCGTGAAGGCCTTGCCAATCAAGCTAAGTTCCCGGTGCGCTTTGTATCCGAACATGTATAGCGCCTCATAGTTCAGTGTGCCGTTGGCCAGCAGCATGGCACTGTCCGCGTTGACCGAGAAGCCCCCAAACCCGCCGTCCGTAAGTCCAGACGCCGCGCCGTAGATGATACCCTCGGGCAGCATGTGCGTCCCGGAATTGATGGCATAACCACCGCCTCCGGTAGACAACCATCGGTTCTGGAAGTTGGTAGGAGCTGGTAGCCAGATTTGTAGTAGGACTCGGTCGCTGTCGATGCCATCGTGCGAGTAGGCCAGGGTGATATTGCAGTAGTCGATCGTCGCCGTAGGGTAGTCAATGCTGCTGACAGTGCTCTTGGTCACCACGCTGGCTGTGACAGAGTCTGAATCGATTGTGATGCCCTGGATGAACTCGGAAGGAGGTAATGCTTTTTGAGCATAGGCAACAGTGCAGAGCTCCTCGAGCGTTGAGGGAGTCGCTGCATGGGCCACAGCAGCAAGGCCCACGGCGAAGGGGCCCCAGATAGAAGGACGCATTGATAGTTTTTAATCGCTTGCAACACAGAAGAATGTTACGGGATGAGTACAGATGGAATGACGAGGAAATATCTCTCGTCTTTATATGAACAGGTCCCCATATGCCCAGGTCCCTTTCGCCCGCTTCCTCCAAGTCCGGGGTCAAAGGCAATCATTGAACTGCTCTCCCAGAATCTTCATCGATATTGATTTGTGGGGTAGCTCAGTTAGCCAGCCAAACAGGATGGCCTCCATCCACTCTGGACAAATAACATTCCTTGCTCCAGAAAGAGCTTCGGGATATTTGCCATAGTCCGCAATAGAAGAACGCCATCCCCACAGTCCATCCCACAGTCCCACAGCCGAGGCCAACCCGGAGATTATCACCATATGCAGGCTTAAACGCCGAGCACTTATATTGTCTGGCTAAATCCTCTTCCTGAACGCGTGTCTAACAGTTGCATGACTATTGGTGACCAGTATCGATGACCTGGATGTTGTGGAGCGAAGAGTATTGAATGGTGTCAAGTATACATATCTGGATTTGCGAGCACTCCAGACACATTGCAGCTCCTCTACCAGGCAAAGTACTCGGCCATGAACTTCGTAGCGGGAAGTAGTCAAGCTGATGATATCATTGACAAGTCGTAGGGCGAGATGATTGAAGAATTAAATGCAACTGTCCCACAGAATAGACTAATGATCTGAACTCCCACAATCTGTAGAAAAAAACCACAAACGTGCACCACATCACCGGCTCCGCTCTTCACGCTGACTCCAACATCTACATTTCCCTAACCTCATCATGAACGGGCATCTTCTCATCAGCCAAATCCTCCACCTTTTCCACTCCCGCCAACCCCAGGCGCTCATTGATACGCAGCATCCGAAGCCGATCCGACTCAGCAATGCTATCTTCCGCACCTCCAAAGTAAACATCGAGCTCTTCCAGAGTCTTGTCCTTGGTCTCAGGAGCAAATCTCCAGATGAACAGACCACCCAGAGCGCTGAAGATAGCAAAGAAGATATATGTGCCGTACTTCATGGATTTGAGCATGTCCTTGGTAGTCAGACCGATGATGAAGTTGAACATCCAGTTGGTCGAGGCCACGATGGACACGCCCCGAGAGCGCATACTGTTGGGGAAGATCTCCTGCGCGAGAACCCACGCGACGGGACCTAGTAGGGTCAGTATATGCAACGATCATACCAGGAAGAAGACGCACCCCAGGAGTAGGCAAAGTTCACAGCGAACAGCCAGATAAAGGCAATGGCAACCCATCCCTGAGCCTTGTCCAGACCCATGTTCTTATTCCATTCATCCTGGTACAGCCCTTCGACAGTAGCGACCACCACGTGGCAACAGAACATGCCGATTGCACCAGCGATGAGGAAGGTCTTGCGACCAAACTTGTCTAGGAAGAGGACGGCGGGTAGCGTAAAGGTGATTTGCAGAATACCGGTCACTCCGGTGGCCAGCAGAGTCGTCTTGGTCGAGGAGAAGCCGAACGATGCAAAGATCTGAGGGGCATAGTATAGGACCGCATTGATACCCGTAAATTGCTGACAGATCATTGTTCCTATATACAAGGATCGTTAAAATAGCACCTACAAAGGCAGAATGTAAGCTTACCGCAGCCGAGGACAAGACGTTTGAACATGTTGGGAGCGAAAAGCGCCTTCCACGGGGCCAGTCTCCCTCCCACGCGGATGGCCTCCTGGTCGGATTCCTCATCGAAGAGAACAGCCGCCTTGATTTCGAGAATTTCTGCCTTGAGCAAGGGATCTGTGGGACTCAATCGCCGCAATTTGGAGAGGGCAACGACAGCTTCTTCTTCGCGGTGCTTGGTCATCAGCCACCGAGGGGAGAATGGGAAGAAGAACATTCCAAAGAAGAGGATCCATGCAAAGATAATCTGTAAAGCCAGTGGCAGACGCCAGGAGATGGTCTTTTGGCCCAGACAGGTGTGTCCATGGTTCTGAGCCGCGTTGTAGGAGCCATCGGGCAGGTAGGGGTTGTCAATGCCTTCAGGATTGCAGGTGGTGCCACCGACGTATTGCATTCCTAGTCATAGATTGTCAGACAGGATAGCAAGGCGGCAATAGAAGGATAGATGTACCATAGTCCAGCCAGAAAGCAATGGATGTTCCGATAGTGATGGAGAGTTGCTGCAGTGATACGAGCGACCCTCTCAGTTCGGGAGGAGCAATCTCGGCTTGATAGAGAGGAATAACCTAAGGACGGCCACACAGTGAGCGAGTATAGAATGTTACCGAGGAGAAACAGACATACGTGACTGAACATGCCAATCCCTACACCACCGATGATACGACCAGCAAAAAAGTAAGCAGGAGTCTGCGCACCAGCCTGCAATCCGGACCCCAGCGTGAAGATAACCACGGCGACCATCATCGAGTACTTGCGCGAGATCCGATCTGCCAGGTATCCGTTAAACAGAGCACCCGCCCAGGCGCCCAGTTCCAGAGCAGAAACCAGCCAACCCTGGATGGTTGAGCCCATCAGGTAGGGGAAATGATTCTCAAAGTTCTCCATCACCAGCACGGGACTCATGACTCCCTGATCGTACCCGTACATGATACAACCTAGTGAGGCAAAGGCACAGGTCATGAAGACGTACGGGTTCTTCAACATACCCACTAGACCATGCGGCTTTTCCGCGTTGGCGCGGCCAACGACTGATTGACTGACAGCCATCTTCACGCGAATCCTATACAGAGCGGTAATCAAAGAGGTAAACAAAACTCGACGTAGGATGTGCAGTCAGGAGAACGAGGACTGTCAGGTATTAATAAGGTAGTTACTTTTCTCGACCCCGTCTGGGTTGATATCTCGGCATGCGGAGTTTCATCCGGAGTCGGGAGGCCTGGATCTTGCAAAATATGAGTGCCCAATTCTCCATACTACCAGACGCTACTGAAGTAGACAGTAGCATTCGGCTTTGGGGTTGCATTGTTATCCTGGGGTCGGAGTATCATCGGCTCTGGAAGTCCAGTAATGTCCATCAGAGATCGAGATGACGCGCCCGTTCGACGTTCATGACTGGTTCTATGATGAGCACGATCTATGCCGAGTCAGGCGAGCAGCGGATAGCATGTGTCTTCTAGGTCCGAGCCAAGGTCTTGCTATAAATTCCTGGCAGCGGCAGCGGAAATGGGCTAGTGAACTGGATCGGGAATGGCATCATCTGGCTGGCATT